CTTTACTACTGAACGCATTGTAAGCTCGCACAGACAGGTATCGGTACTATCGTCCTGTCATTTCTATCGTAAAACAGTCCTGTATTATGGTTTGAAGGATAACTCAGATGCATACAATACTTTTGAGACTTCGACCTCATATCTCAAGGTTACTAACAGCAAGTAGGCCATGAGCTCATTGCCCATCAAAGCAATAAAAATAAAATAAAAGCCGCAATCATTAACATCACAATAAACAGATCGACAAGCTTAGCAACCGACATTGAAAATAAATTCTTATCAACATTCAATTACCTACTAGCTAGCGTCATATTCTTTGTAACTATGCTGAAGTTACGTACATAGACCAACATGTACCTTTTTTAGAGCAGGGGACCCACCCGTTCGGGGGGAAACGGACCCGGACAATTTCTATATACACCATATTAAGTATTAGAAATAAGTCTCGGCAAACATGTTTGTGCCGAAGCAGTTTATACTGCGGTATATTTGAAGAATAGGACACGAGCCGCCAGTAGGCATCGGTTAGATACATCGAAAAGCGTAGGTAAGGAACTAAAGCCATATCAGAATATTCAACAGTAAGATAGTGGTGCGAGTACAAAGACAAAAATGAATTAAAAAGGGTGAAAAGTTGATTTTAGTTGGCTTCCATTCAGATCATTAATGGAACGCAGATTGTACAAACCAAAAACAAACAATATACTACGAGCATTGTTATAGAAGTCTAGGACGGGGCTTAGATGTACTGGTCAACCGTAGAGGACAAATTCCAGTGAAGGTGGTTAACAAAAGTCAGAGAGAACCCGTGGAAAAGTATGGCCAACCTGTGTGTTTTCTCTTCTTGTGGTGACGAATTCAGTGATGATATGAAGTAGCGATGAATGGACCAGAGAAGGCAGGCAATGATTGACGAAATGAAGGCGATTGAAGGCCTCCATAATATATACAAAACAAGAGTTTACACACTTGCGACGCTACCTCTTTAGAATTCGACACGCCAAATTAACTAAAAATATCACAACCTAAATAAAAATCCGCTTAGGTCTATCTATCGCATCATTTTAGTGTTATCAATTAACATTGTGAATTGCTGGGTTCCTGTTGAAAAAACTATTAAGGAACCGTAGCGACGACGAGGACTTAGAGAGCATCAGGTGAGTCACGAGTCCTGCATTCTCTGATTTAGTCTGTTTTTCCAATTTCACCACGCCAACAAAACATCCAGACGGCCTCCGCATAGCATCGCATAATTTTTGAACCATTTCCCAACCGCACATATGGTGTAGCAACTATTGACCCGTCATACCGAAGGCTTTCGATGACAACGGAGCATGGGAATTTATAGACACGAGAGAATCCTATAGGGTAGTGCAATGCAAGTGAGCATTTAAGAAAAAGTTTAAAAGAGACAATAAAGTGAGATATAGGACAAACTGGTTGCGAAAGGGTTTATTCAAAGCCTGCACAAGCTACTGCATGTATGTATGTATACCTGCTAAAGCATGGTATACATACGTCTAAGCAATTTGAAGTTAATTCAATTCATTCATTCAATTAAAAGGTCAAATTATAAAAGTTAATATGCATGCCAAAAGTTTAAGACCACCTTAATTAAAGTAGGAAAATAAAATAAAACTCCAATAAAATATTAAATGGTTAATTAACCTGTTTAGTCATCCACTAGAAAACTGATTGACAAACAATACACTTTAAAAGCGTAAAGAACTAATAACAGTCCATGCTAGAAAAGGTTATAATTAGCTATACTGATTTTTCATCTTAAATCCTCCTTTAGATTCTAATAAATAATTTTATTCACAACTCTCGGCATACGGGCAATCAATTTGTTGATGGTGTCTTGTGATATATTGCTCCAATTTTTCCACATTTCTTCTTGCCAGGGTGGGCCTAGATTACGGACGTTCCAATCAAGGTGTTCCCACAAAAGTTCAATGGGATTGAGATCCGGGCTCTGAGGAGGCCAAACCATATTTTTTAACACCCCGTGTGTGCCTCTTTCTCTTCTGAATATCCTGTGTATAGCTTTGAGGTATGCTTTGGATCATTACGTTGTCAGAAAATGAATCAATCTCGAATTAATCGCAACCCGGACGGAAGCAACGGCATTTTGTTCTTAATTTTTATTGTACTGTTACTTTTTCAAAATTCCTTCAATTATTATCAAATCACCAGTTACTTGGCTAGGGAAGCAACCCCAGACCATAACTGAGCCAGCACCATACTTGATTGTAGGGACTACACGGTCTCGCATCATCCTATCTTGGGCACTGCGTCGAAAGTAAATTCTTCATTTTAACCCAATAGTTCAAACTTGAATTCATTGGTCCAAATAACTTTTTTTAAATCTTCTACTGTCCAATCTCGATGGGCACGAGCCCACTGCATCCGTTTTTTCTTGTTTTGTGGCCTTAGCAGATTTTCGAACGGCGACATGACCATACAACTTCGCATCTCTCAGTCGCCGTTTCACTGTAGTCAATGATAAAGGTTTTACTCGGGTTTAGTTTACTTCAACGCGGATTTCTGGTGCTGTTAAGCTTCTAGTTCGCTTGCTGGTAACAATAATGAAATTATCTTCACTAGACGTGGTAGCTCTTGGCCTTACCGAGCGTGGACGATCTTGAAAATTGCCTGTATCCTTGTATAGAGTTATTGTGTCATGAACACAAGCCTTTTAAACTTTAGTTGTGAAGCAATTTCAACGATGGCAGAACGCACTTCACTGTTAAGTACGCATGTTTATCCCATTTTAAGATGTCTTCACTGTAGAAAACACAAGTTTAGACTAATTGAGATTGTTTAAGAGCAAACCCAAGTAAGCTTTGGTAATAAGAAGTCGGAAACAAGTGTTTTCAGAAGCTAAATAAACCTAATTATTGACCAATGCGAAACAAAAGCAAAGTAATTAGTAATGAGCACATCATAAAAATATTATTATGACTCGACCACCTGGCTCCAGCGCAGCGTTTTTCGGTGTTATTCGACCAACAATAGAGGCCCACTGAGTTTCTCGCCGGATCTTCTCAGTGGGTCTCGTTTCCGATCCGGTGGTAGATTCTGCGAAGAACTGCTCTTGCTAGGGCCAGTGTTAGCATCACTCCGGTTTGAGCCCCGTGAGCTCACCTACATGTTAAGGGGAAGCTGATATAGCCTCTCAAGGCTATCAGCATAGGGAGGAAAAAGAAAAAAAGTTAAACAGTAGTAACTGTTGCTCGAAGTGGGTGTTTGAAAACAATAGATGTTTATTGTCCAATAACTTCAAAGTAAACAAAAGAATGACTTCTTTAAATATTCTATATTAACAATAGAATATGCAGTTGTGGATTTCTTTTATTTCTTTTACGGAATTTTATTATAATCGATAGATAGATAGATGTTGATTAGGTACGATCTTAAAGTTTTGGCCAGCAGTGTAAATATATTATAAAAGTTACTTTCCTAATTTGACCTTTTTAATGCACTGTTTAAATAAATAAAAAAATTAAACTTTAAAACCTAAGAAAATACTATAAATATTATTATTGAAATTTGAAATAAATTAATATTTTATTAAATAAATTAATTGTTATGGGAGATGCTTATAATAATTTTAAACAGGCGTTTTTTAAATCATGATACGTAAATTTTAAATATTTATTTTTTACAAAGTCGTTTCCATTATTGTAACACTTTGATAACATATCTTTTTCGAGGCCTACAACTTGGGAAGCCACTTACAAAATTATTGTTTAACGACCTACATTTTATTAAATCTTGTTAAGATGTTAAGGTCATACTGGAGCCCATAGATACCACAACAAACAAAGATTAAATTCATCGTAATTTTCGTTCTAATTTTAACTCATGCCTGAGCATGTTAGGTTTCAGCGTGCATACACAATTTAATTTTAACAAACAGTGGGTATTACATTGGACACCTTTACTAGAAAATATTTATTCTACATGACCATGCAAGTATTTGCTTCACTTAATATCACAGACTTACGTTTATTTTCTTATAGACTTATATATCTTAATCTTATATATATTTATAGCATTTACAATGTAACCTGAAAAACATGACGTAAACTAATACTGTATAATTGTTTAAAAGTCAGAGAACTGTAATTGTTTACAATTGTATTGTTCGTTTCTATTACTTTACATCACGTTTATTCAAAATTCTACTAGAAATTGCATTTATATATTATTATGTTACGGTAAATGTACTATTTTACCGGCAAATGTGCACATTTGCCAAAAAGTTATTTATATGTGAACTTAGTTTTAGTTAGGTTGTAGTTAGTTAGGTTGTAGTGGTGTGTATGCGGATGCGCTTGCGCATGTGCACCACACTACTAGCACTTGCGATTTCGTATTTTGTATGCCCTGCTCACATTTACCAAAACGACATGGTCATTGTGAATTCAATGGACATTTCCCTTCTTTGAAATGGTAAATGTTAGTTAAATGCACATTACCCAAACGAGGAGGCAAATGTGCACATTTACCGGAAAATGTGTACATTTGCCGCAATATCTACTTTTACCGTAACATATACATAATTACCTATTATACTACTATCACAGCTCATCATTTGGTATCGTAGTTTAACAAGACACCCGCAGACAGTCGCGGGCCGCGTGACGTCACTCGTAGTTCGGCGAATATAACAAACTTGCCGGTCGTAGTAGATCTTGTACTTACCACAAATCAACGAACGAGGTTTAAAAATATGCGTAAAAACTTAAATTACTATGCGCAGTACATAAGTTATACTCGGTAAATTACATCGCATTTAAAGGCAAAACAGAAAATTGTTTCGTCAAATCTCGTGTACGCTTTATCAAAACCATGACTTTTCGTTTATACACTATAACCACGATCACAGGTTCAATCCGCTAAGCAATATTTTCACGGTGTCAACGAGGGAACGCTCGTTCTTAGAAGTGGAGTAAAGACGAGTGTGGACACTCTTTAGACTTTTACAAGCGTACCTGGCTCCATACGGCGGCTCTACGCTACGTCTCGGGGGGGACATTAGTTCGTCGTATACTCCGGCATATCTAGAAACAAAGAGAATCAAAGGTAAAATTTAATCGTGGGGTTTGTCGCTTCTTATAACATAATTATATTAATTACTAGCGACCCGCCCTCGCTTCGCTTCGGAGACACTAAATTTTATTATAGATTGATAGGCGAAGCCCGCCAAGTTGCGCGCGGTACCACAATTACTGCGGGTGACGCCGCGGGGCGAAGCTAGTCTAGAAAAGTAGCCGAAGTTACTCCTTATATCATCAGCTACCTATCAGTGAAAGTCTCGTCAAAATCGGTCCACCCGTTCCAGAGATTAGCCAGAACAAACAGACAGACAGACAAAAATTGTAAAAAATGTTATTTTGGTGTATGTACCGTATATATATTCATATGCAAGTAGTAAAAAACTGTTATTTTAATATTACAAACAGACACTCCAATTTTATTTATACGTATTGATAGGGGCTTCATCGAAATTAACCCCACGTTTTACTACTAATTAGAAAATAGTATTTTTTTTAAACTTAATAAATTGTAACATATACAATATGCAATAAAATCAGACACGAGAAACAGTTCGTATGTTGAATTATGTTAATATAAGGCATATAAAACCATTTAGATTTATGCTTAGTTTATGACTGACGGGCCGTATCCAGCATCGATCAAAAATAATAATATTTCACTCTTTTATTGTTTAACGATCAATTACATTTTGACGTTTATCAAAAACAATAATTTTGGATTAAGCCTCTTCAACTCTAAAGGTGCGATAAACATCTGCTGTATGAAAACACAAATATAATCCTTTTTTTTCGAAAACTTAGTTTGAATGCAATTGTTGTCACACATCACGTCAGTTTATGAAGCACTGTATTAACAGTAATAAGAAGCAATTGCGCAAAAATTGCTCTCTGATTATAATAGGTTGGGGAAAAAGTTTTATCGCTTTTTTTAAGAAAATTCACAACATTTTTTATTTATTTTATATAGTTTATTTACATTTAACTAAAGTATGTAGGTACCATTTTGTTCGATAACTTTTTGCCATCTTGTATGTAGGGACACGATCCCATTGCTATAGAAATGTTGGGGCTTCTGATCAAAACACCGCGACAATTGGTTTTGGCAGTCCTCTCGTGATGTTAACCTGACACTGCCTAAAGAATTCCGAAGAGACCGAAACAGGTGGAAATCTGAAAGTGCAAGGTCAGGACTATACGGCGGATGCATTAACACCTCTCAACCAAGCTCTTTTAATTTTTACTGAGTGACTAAAGATGTGTAAGGTCTAGCATTATCATGATAAAAACCACACCCCTTCTGTTCATAAATTCCGGTCGCTTTTTGTCAATTCCTTGCTTTAATCTCATCAATTGTTCGCAGTCGAGTTCAGAATCGATGGTCCTGCCTGGTGTTGGCTCATAATGAATTATGCTCTTCCAATCCCACCACACACACACATCACCTTGTTGCGAGTTAACCCGGGTTTCGCCAGTTTGTGAAAAGCCTGACCGGCTTTGACCACGACCTTTTTCGCACGTTCTTATCGTACGTGCTTACTTTTCATCACCAGTTATTAGCTTCTTCAAAAATGGTTCGGTTTCTTTACGTCGTAATAAAGAACCACAAATGAGTACACGGTTCATTAGATTTCTTTCACTGAGCTTGTGAGGTACCCAAATATCGAACTTTTTTGTGTACCCAGTTTTTTTCAAATGCGCCAAAACTGGTTTTAGGTCAATTCCCAGTCCTTCAGCTACGTCGTAGTTACTGATATGCCGATCTTACTCCTCTTTTTCAAAAATGGCATATTTTTTATCCGTAATAGGGCGACCAGAGCTACGTGCATTTTTGACATCAAAATTTCCGGATTGAAAACGCTTAAACCAAATTTGTGCTACTCTCACAGACACTGCACTAGGTCCATAAACATCGCAAATTTTTTTCGCGGCTTGCGTTGCATTTTTACCATTTTTGTAGTAAAATTTTAAAATGTATCGAATTTCTTCATTAGATTCACTCATCTTGACAGTACGAAAAATAGATAATAATCACACATTTTCCTAACTTGAATTTGGAATTATCTTCTTTAAAATTTAAACTTTTAATGATACCAAAACCAACCAGATACATACTATAATGCGAAAAGACTTTTTCTCCAGCCTATTATGTACATATATACCATCACTAAAATTTGCTCATACCTGTGCGGTGAGGATCTCGGTGGCGGCGGCGAACGTCGCGGCGTGCGGCGTGGGGACCGCACCGGCGAGCGGAGCGGGGAGCGGATCGGCGAGCGTAGCGGCGAGCGGGGCGGCGACCGCAGAGGGGGCGAACGGTACCGTATGGGAGACCGCATGCGACGCCGGGGGGACGGCGACCTGCATCAAACATCATCAACTCTTAACTTCTATATTTTACTAGTGGCTGAAGATTGTGGAACAGTGACAATAAATTAGGCAGACTTATAGTCGTATTTTTAATTAGACGAAGCCCACTGACAGAAGCTAATGTCACTTTGTAAAATAATGTTGCTATATTTAAAGCAATAGTGATGCGTTCAGTTTTCGTTCAATCCGATGAATCAACAATGAGTGTGAATAGTTAATCATTTATTCAAACTATAAAAGAATATTATTTCTATTTTACAATAAAATTGTATAAAAGTGCTCTGATATAAGTTACTAGTAGTATGTAACTACAATCAGTTTTTTGACAGCTTATTATAAAGCGCGGCGCGGCGACTAGTGCTAGCACCGATCAACGCCGCGCGCGTCGGTCGCCGTTTTGTTTGTAATTCGGCTTCTAACCTCTGGTCTAATAGCACGAATGTTTTTTCTGCGCTCACACTGTTTAGTTATTGTTTTTGTTAATTTTTTCGTTGCGTTGTGTTTGTGGAAATTGTTATGTTTATTTGTTGCTATATTGTTCCGTACAAACGATAGGTATCCTCAACCAAGCACGTCAAGCCAAAGCTTGTCTCCAAGAAAGAAGAGACCGCGGATTGCTTCAAGCGTTACCGAAAAAGTTATGATACAAAACGTCTACAAACACTCATTTGAGGAGAAAGCTGATTCACTATTACCTATTGAAAATCCCGAAAAAAAATAATGTGTTTCGAAAACAGCTGACATTTTGGGAATTGGTGTGACCTCAGTTTACAGTGTATTAAAAGAACACAAAGAAAATAAACAATTTAAGTCTCCCGAGAAACGTGGACCGAAACACAGTTTCAAAACAGTTTTGCGGTAGGCAGCGGCTTGGCTCTGCGCCTGGCATTGCTGAATGTCCATGGGCGACGGTAACCACTCACCATCAGGTGGGCCGTATGCTCGTCTGCCTACAAGGACAATAAAAATAAATAAAAAAAATCAAAGATAAATTAGACGCTTTTACTTTTGCCGCTATAAGGCGAAAAGTACATCATTCTTTTTATGCAAATGAGCCACCCACCATTATAAAGGTATCTTAAACTTTATTCCTTCTACTGCATTATATTCTGTGTCCACCATAATGTTCTTTGTAAAAGTATTAGATTGCGTAGACTTCCTTACTCAAAAACTTTTTTATTACTTTACAGATTCTTAAGGTTGTCAATGAAGACCCAGACTTACCCAATTTTTCTTGGAGTACATTAAGAAATGTTATGAAACATTTAAATTTCAATTATATCACAAAATCAAGACAAAGTATTTTAATAAACAGACAGGACATTATTTTATGGCGCCAGCGATACCTTCGAAAAATTAAAGAGTATCGAAGGGAAGAAAGGTATATTTATTACCAAGATGAAACCTGGATCAACGAAGGTATGTACAATTTTCTGTTTTCTTTACATTAAATTGTACTTTCAATAATTAATTGATATTTTTTACTGTCTTGAAGGTCATGCACCGAAGAAGGCATGGGTTGACCAGACAGTGTTATCGTCCCGCCAAGCTTCCTAGATGACTGACCACTGGCTTAAAACAGCCTTTAGGTAAGGGCAAACGATTAATTATCGGCCATATAGGAGGAGAAGAAAGATTCGTAGAAAACAGCTTATTAATATTTGAAGCCAAAAAAAATAACGAAGTTTATCATCAACAGATGAATGCCGATTCCTTTGAGAAGTGGTTTAGGGGGGTCTTGCCAAAACTAAAACCAAATTCCGTAGGAGTGATGGATATTGTCCCCTACCACTCCAGGAAACTAGAATCGCTGCCTACAATGTCTTGGACTAAACCTAGATTACAAGAGTGGCTAACGAGCAAATATATTTCATTCGAAGCAACAATGGTTAAAGCTACTCTTATAGACAGTGTACGGCAGCACAAACAAGAACATTGCGATAAGTATGTGGTGGACGAGATGGCAGCGCAGCATGGGATAATTGTTTTACGTCTGCCCCCATACCACTGTGAGCTCAATCTCATTGACTTGGTATGGGCGCAGGCTAAAGGATATGTTGCAAGAAATAACAAAACCTTCAAAATTACAGAAGTAAAAAAACTTTTTGAAGAAGGGCTTCAACATATCACACCTGAAAAACGGAGTAGCTGCGTGTCTCATATAATTAAAGAAGAAGACAAAATGTATGGTCTCGACCACATGATCGACAATGTTTCAGACAGATTTATAATTAATGTCACCGAAAACGATAGTGATGATTTTTTTATCTGATGATGAATAAAAACAAATTATGTAATAAGCGATGTTTTTTTATTTTCATTACCTACCTATAATTGTTATATTGTATACATCTATAGTTTCAACTACATGATGTATTGAAAATAGGACAGTCTTACAAGTTTCCTCGCAATGTTTTGCTTAATGTTTAAAACACGCGGTATTCAGTATAAGTAGATACTATAGGAACATAATCTTCGAAAACTCGTTGGTATGTACAAAGCACGACTACCCCGTACCCGATATCGGCAGTTTGGCACACTAACTATTCACTAGACAATCGAGGCAATTTCATTAATTCAGGAGTTTTTTCAATCATTCACTTTGTCACAACACTATTTTTATTTCCTCAGAAACTGACAACACAGTAAACGTCAATTGACTTCCTCTAATAAAAAACCTAGCAGCGGAGCCAATTAACACCTTAATATTTGGTGATGAATATGTTTTCTTGAGACATAAGGTCGAAGTATCAATTCATGAATGCTTAATTATATATTTCATGATTTCCATCCTTTGCCAATATTTTTATTTACTGAAAACGTATTTTACAATACGTTACAATATTTGACAACCAACGTGAAGTTACCGTCAACTTTACTAGGCTCATTATTTATTTATGATATCAAAATAAATGAAAAAGTTACTCAATAGTTTCTAATACCGATTCAATTAACACTTTAACAGTAACTAGTTTACTGGTGGTAGGACCTCTCGTGAGTCGGCGCGGGTAGGTACCACCGCCCTGCCTATTTCTGACGTGAAGCAGTAATGCGTTTCGGTCTGAAGGGTAAGGCAGCCGTTGTAACTATACTGAGATCTTAGAACTTATATCTCAAGGTGGGTGGCGCATTTAAGCTGTAGATGTCTATGGGCTCCAGTAACCACTTAACATCAGGTGGGCTGTGAGCTCGTCCACCCATCTAAGCAATAAAAAAAATAAAAAAGTTTAACTGATATCGTCGTAACTACCACAGATTATTACGCAGTCACCAAGTTAATAGTTTGTATTTTTACCTCGTTAGCGAAAGAGAGCGGCTGCGCGTGCGGCGTCTTCTTGGCGACCACGGTGAACGTCGCAAGCGGCCGCGCGACATGGAACGCGACCTACAAGATTTATGTAAATTTAATTTAATTCGACTTTGACGAGACTAACTAGAAATTATATAAGCAAGCATTATTTTATTAATAAATCTTCCTTCATAAATAAACCACAACCCATTATGACTAGAATGATTATCGGATACTGTACTACAAAAAGAACAAGAGAATAATAGGTAACGAGTTCGACGGCCCACGTATTATGCAAATCTCAGACGAACATGCTAAGTTTAAATCTACACAAAGAAGCGACATGCAAAAAGCGATCGATTATGGACAATCTTAGGTCGGTCAGAAGTAAATCATATTATTTCATAAATCAAAAAGCATCTTATTACAAAGGCACTAAATGAACGAAACGAAATATTTCGTCTGGTGACTATGACGTTAACGAGATGTCAGTTTAAATGTTCGTTTTCGTTTAGTTCTCACGGGAGGGGAGGGAGCGATAGATGCGAGCGAACCTAGAGTACCGCGGGCGGCTGGAGGCGCGGCTGCGGGCGCGAACGCGCGGCGTGCGTGAGCGCGTGCGGGTGCGCGTGCGAGAACGGGAGCGAGAGCGAGACGGAGACAGCTCGCGGCGCCGCTCCTCCTCACGCCGCTTGGCTCGCATCTCCTTCTCGCGTATCATCCGGTTGAAAGCCTCCAGCGGATCCTCACCCGGCCTAAGACAATGCGTCTGAGTTAAACAAACGCCCTTAACCGAACTCAATTCTCCATGGATTTTTAAACCAATACTTGACCATGCCCTTTTTTTAATTGTTCTAAAAATACTCTGGAGACTCATTTCGAGAAAAACACTTTATAAAGTCGAAAATGAAACTAAAATTGATAATCTAATTTACAACGCTCCTTTTAAATCAATAAATTGCAAACTGAACACTAAATTGAAGAAAACAGAGATAAGATCCAAAATATCGAATAGAATTAAACATTGGAAATGACTTTCTTTGATGTTAGATATTAACGGCCCCTTTATAAATGTAAAATATTTATATCAATAAGAAACAAAACTCAGATAGAATATCCTAAAATAAATTTACTGAAGCTAATTTGGTATATTTTATTATTGATCTGACTAATGCGACCACAACACATTGTGATTCTATAATTATGTGTAAGGGTTAAAACAGTATTTTTCCTTGGATATTAAATTTCTTTTTAAATGCAATTATATCTGCATTCCTTCAAATATAAAAAAGTGATTACATTTACCTGTTAGAAGGCGATTCTTTGATACCGGGCGGAGGTGGTTGATACGGTTCAGGAGGAAAACGCTCAACAAATCCAGGACCGGGCGGTGGACCGAATCGCGGTGGACTAGTTTCAAACAACAAAAAAAACATTCATAGTTAAATCTAATTAGCGAGCAAAATCATGTCATCATGAAATTACAAGAAAATCAGTCTTACTCGTTAAAACGTTGAGGTGGTTGCGATGCTCCATGAGCGAACGGGTGAGGACCTCGATTGTACGGTATCTGCCAAAAGTAGTATTTATTTCATTTAATGATGAGAAACCTGGTACTTAACAAGTATATCATAAATTTTATAAAAAAAATTACCTGAGAAGACATTGGATCTCTTCGTTCCATTGGTTCTCTTCGTTCATCTATTGTTGGAGTGCTAGCCCTTTGTTCTTCAATTCTAGGTAACTGAAAGAAGCAAATATTTACCATTAGTTTTGGAACATTCCACAACAAAAATAAAATCATACATATGTATCTAAAACTTACATTGAGTGGTATGGATGAATTTGGATTTTCGACAACTGGTTTTATCATCGGTTGATGGCCTGTAACAATTTTTGAAACTATTATGTACGGAGTATTAAAATATTACATTAACATTGAACCAATAAATAGCAAGACATACAGTGAGGTGAACTCTACACGCAAGTTCATGCACTAACACCATTAACATTTATTCATTATAAATTATTATTCTATGACAAGACAGATACAATGCTTTAAAAGAATAATTGAAAAATGTGTTTGCAGTTTATAATTTCATTTAAGTCTTTACTACTAGCTCTTTAAAAAGCTACATTAAACTGCTCAAGAAAATACTCTCGTGGTAGGGATATATTTTATGACATGCATTTGCATTTGTTTGCTGTTTGTTTATATTTTTTTTATATAACGACATTACCACATATTTGGACCTAACAAAATTAATCTAAATTGCGCGCCGTCGTAGTCCAAACGTTTTGTACGTAATGCTACAGTCATATACGCAAAGGAGACATTTTGGTAAACCGGGCTACGTACTGGAATAATCCACCAATGCAGATTTACGACTGTTATATCGAATTGACAAGCAAACGACCAAATAGGTAGTTTAGGTACCAATCGTCAATCTCCTCAATGTTGTCAACAGCTCTTCGAAAAATGGAATTAATCAAACATCACCGCGCCCAAGAGATCAGAAAAGATATTACCATTCGTACAACAGTTATTAAACATGCAGTTAGCAATATTTAGCGTAAGCGATCAGTGTTAGCGAGTAGCCACCTTTTGATGGTTGGTAATAAGACATAGTAGACTATTTTAATTGTATCTTAAATAAAATTTTATCTTATTTTTTTGTTTAAAGATTACGATTCCAGTATACTATATTAATCTTATTGAAGGTTAATATTCATTTATTTCATCCAAAAGTCCTTGCTGATGTCTTATTTCTCAAATATTATTTCAATATTATTTCAAGCAAACATGCAGCGTGTTATTCTTAACATTTCTAAGGACCTTCCGGAACATGTCTTATAAAATTCAAATGACACTTATTAAACAATATCAAATATTTTCTATAGCAGTTTCCAACATCAGCAGCATTTTGTTAGAATTTAACAGATCAATCAGACGTAAAGTTTTTGTCACTAAAATTTCTAGTCCACAATTGAATTATTTCCAGCGTATCTCAACAAAATTAAAATAAAAGTGTCATTTGACATTCATAGTGCATTACCCTCAGTTCACGTACTTGCATATAACTGTCTATATAATAATAATACATACACAATAAGAGTTTTTATAGTAAAATAGATTTAATTTTAAATTTGTGTTTTATAGGCGCTCAACACTTATTTGTCACGCAAAAAAAAACCCGCAATGCAATGCGATGTGAACTGAAAGTTACTCTCTCGGTAGTCATTCTATGAATAAGCAATAAAACTGTAGTAGCGTTAAGAGAAGGGCGGCAGTGGAGAGGAGGGTCGTGTTCTCGTGTACCGTATCTGTAGTGTCGATGCGGTGCGTGGTGCGCGAGCTTGGGCGGCATCGTGACTGTGATGTTGTCGTCCGCCGACCCGTCCGACTCCTCGCCGCCGCGACTCTCTTTAACGTCACACCACAATAATAAGGCCGACTTATATTATCTTAGGCAGTCGTTAGTTACTGCGTTAGGAGAGTACAATAGTGGAGGCACGGACATACGATAGGCTTTAGTAATAAGGCACTATTTGCATAACTACCGTTCTATTTGTTTTTCTATTTTAAAAATAGAATTGGAGTATCTTCCTGCGCCTGCTTATTTTCCCGCTTATCACTGTCATCGTTATTCGCTGCATAAATAGAACTTTATATTCAATTGAGTGCATTCATACACTTTGAATTGAGTTTTTTTTTTTTGCTTTAACAAATAGTAATGGCCAAAGTGTATACAATGTTACGATAATACTCGCATTCGAGTGTTAATATTGTACTCTCCCAATGCACTAAGATAATGTAAAGCGGCCATCATATTCACCCCTCTCTACTGCAAACTTGAGCGACGTGACCGTTTCGAAATTTACTATTCATTTTGAAATGTTTAAAAGTGGATCAATTTTACAGTGTTGTTTTTGTTTTATCAGTTAAAAAACTAAGTGTTGCAATAACTGTACAGTTTTAACACAGATCCGCCAACTCTAATTTTTCATTTCGATCACAATAATTCACAATAACTTCATTTGGTAAAACATTAACGAATTGTTCGATTTAATAGTTTATAAATAGATTGCAAGTAAATGTATGATCTAAGCGAGGAAATTCATAAAATCACAGGTGACGGCTTATTTTTATTTTTTGTTTTAAACTAAAAAACATTAATTGTTAATCACCAAGCGATAAAAAATCCAAACCAATATCTCTTTAAATGCACTGACCGACAGAGGCTGTGACTTGCGGTTTAACGGGTCCATTCGGTGGAGGTTGTTGTACACTCGATGCAGTGGTTGCCTCTGAGGAAATGCATAATAATAATGCACTATAGACTCAATTTTGAAAACTGTNAATGTTTTGGGTAAATGTGCTCCTTCTTATGCCACAGTAAAAAACTGGGTGGATTAGTTTAAACGCGGTCGTACATGTGTCCAAGATGAAGCCCACCCCGGACGTCCAAAAAGCGTCACGACACCGGAAATGGTCGTGAAAGTACATGATATGGTTTTAACAGATCGACGATTGAAGTTATCTGAAATAGCTGACACTACAGGTATCTCATAAGACCGGGTACATCATATCCTAAGTGAGGAATTAAATATGAAAAAGTCATCGGCCCGTTGGGTGCCGCGATTGCTTACGCACGATCAAAAAAGGATTCGAGTGCAAAACTCAAAAGAATGTTTGGACCATTTCAGAGTAATAAAACCGATTTTTTACGTCGATTTGTAATAACAGATGAAACATGGGTTCATTATTACACGCCAGAATCAACAATTCAATGAAAACAGTGGATGCAATCGGGATGGTCGGCTCCAACAAAGGTCATGGCTGTAAAGTCGGCTGGATAAGTCATGGCTTCCGTCTTTTGGGATGTAGATGGGATCTTGATGATAGATTACCTTCCTAAAGGTCAAACAATTAACGGTGAATACTGCGGTAATCTTATAGATAATCTTCATCAATGTATTCAGTAAAAATGAACAGGCTTGGCGAAAAAAAAAACATCTTCCACCCTAGGGTCACACATGTGTTAAAGCTATGGCAAAAATCAACGAATTGAATTAAGATTTGCTGCCCCACCTACCTTATTCGCCTGATCTAGCGCCATCAGACTTCCACTTATTCCCTAAACTCAAAACTTTTTTGGGCGGACAGAAATTTGCCACAAATAATGAAGTCATAGCCGCTGTAGAGGAGTATTTTACAGGCCTCGAAAGAAATTATTTTATGGAAGGCATTACTGCTTTAGAAGGAAGATGGAATAAGTGCGTAGAGGTTCACGGAGACTAGGTCGAAAAATAAAATTAATATTATCACCGAAAGTTAAGTGTTTTATTATTAGGCTAGTTACTTATCATCCCGCCCTTGTATTTCTTAAAGGAACTAAGGAGTCTATTTGTAATAATTTTTTCTACTACATTTTAAGGTACAAATTTAATGAATTTTACTGAAATCATTCTCAAAAGCGTGAATATAAAACGCCCGCGTCATAAACATTCAATGAAAATTTGAGACTTCCCCAACATCGCATTATTCATGACTAATAATACTTTTTATTCTCATTTATGAGTTTTCATTTTATCTCGTGGCAATATGCCTATAGTTATAATGTTAATGATCTCCTCAGGACGGTAAATCTTTTTTGAAAATAGTACATATAAAAGGTTTTCTTTCCCCTTAGAGTATACATATAGCTTGCTTATGTATACTCTAAGGTTCTCACATACAACATGTATATTATGATGACACATAAGTTGATATAAATTATTAATTAAATTTTTCATTAAGAGTGTATTAGATCAACTTACTGTTGAACCTGAATAATTTTTAAATTCCTGACATGAAATTATTTTACCTTGTCAGAATATTATACAAACGTGTATGAAGCTTAACAGCTTTAATCAATAACATTACCTCTAGGCGGACTGTTGGGATTTCCAAAAAAGGGCTTTCGAAATAGATTCAGATCTATAGCAATATTATTAATATTAAATCAATGTTTCGGTTCAAATTATTTAAAACACTTTTAATATTATTATGACATTGGAGGAATATAACTTTTAAAAGCTCTTTTTTTAATATGAATTAACGATATGCCATTGTTTAAAAACTGACAACTAAAACTGTTAGTTAGGCGGTGATAATTATTTTACAAGCTTTCGAACTTCTAGTGTTTTAAAATGTTAATAACTCAATTGACTTAGTAACATTGATTATCTGATACTGGAACAAACGATATAGAAAAACTTATTGTTATAATTTATTTATGGATGGTATTTATGATATACATAATTTAAAATTCTGCGGATTTCCGTTGTTAAATTTATTTATTGATTCAAGATTATTGACATTGCGACTGGTGGTAAAATTGAGTCAAAATTATTTAAACAATAATAAAGACGTAAATCACAAGAAATTTAGGCACTTATTTGTTAAATAAGGTTAATAAAACATACTTTAAAACAAGTGTAAATTTAAGTTAGGTGAGTTTTTTATATCACAATCACTTTATAGTACGGTAACTATGCTCTAGCATAGCTCGGCATGCTGTCATGCTGAAATGTGTTTTCTGATCAGCTTGGGTCACGTGTTCACTAGCTGACTGACTTTTTACCACGATTGCATTCATTAAACGAATTAGTAAAGCAGTTTCAAATTCCAGTTAACTTGATCCTGCTTTCAGAGTTCATGGGAGCCTTCTCAGAAAGTCGAACTCGGTGCAATAAGCGTCAAGGCTGATGACGCCCATAGATAGAATGGATATGTATGCTAGCGTGGACGAACTCACGGCCCACCTGATTTGTTTATATTATGTTGTCTAAGTCATTCTTTTATGAGTAAAGTACGTATTTCATTAAAAAACAATTGTACCTGTCTGCGAGATTTGAACGCCGACGCGGTCACATCACATTATACAAATACACTGGGCGTCTTATCCTTTAGACCACAACTTTTAAATATGCTAACCGATTTTGTGTCATTTAATGAAATCTTTCATTTCTCCGTGACGGTCTAGTTGGTAGTCAGGATTATTTTAAAAATAACTAACCAAAAACTACCTTCATTTATCAGTTAGCACCCTGTAACTCTAGATCATAAATTCTAAAATAAATTACGTTTAACGACTTGTATATTTTTATTATTTGTTTATTTATTTCGGAAAATAAGGAGTGTGACACATCTGTGACATTGAGCCAATATTATCATATTCTTCTATGTGGTGTGGAATACTTTGAAGCAATTATTTTTCTTATTGTAACATAGAGCCACACACACCACATTTATCGTATAAAGTTTAGGAGACTCCAAGTGCTAAAGTGCATTTAGGTAACTTGCACCTGATCGTATTTTCTGACCAAACTGACCAATGCACGATTTTATCTAAATAAACTTCCAATTAAATGTACTAATAACACTATCTTTGTGTGATAATACACCACGTATTATTTTCCTTAGTATGGTATGGAACAGTAAAGATACAATGAGATAAAAGGAAATAAGTATGGTATTTACGATTTTTTATAGCTAGTTACAGAAATGTTACAAGAGGCTACACCGGAGCTAAGAGTGGATAAATTTATCAGCCCCTTCACGAAGATGCTTGTGCATTACTTCAAAACGCAGGTGCAAAAATAATTATTTAAGGGACTTTTTAAGATACAAAATTTTCAGGTGTTTGTTATTATTATTTCTAACTTACAAACATTTTTGTGTCAAGTTTGTAGATGTCGAATGCGTCTGGTATTCAAAGTACGTATAACTATATTTATAACTAGCGCCCCGCTCCGGCTCCGCTCGGGTCTTTAACAAAAATTTCAACGGTATTTGACGTTGTTTAATTTTTTTTAAATAAGATAACACTTATTGCGGCATAACTATAATAGTTAGACATATGCTGTACCGACACTTTTTGTAAATAATAATGTGTTCTTCAATTCAACTCAATCAAATTCAAAGTCGTAGTAGGTACATTATTTTATTCTATCATCAATCGTTTTCGCAGGGCACGCGATGTAAAGAATATTTAGGTAATTTTTTTACACCTTGGGTTACATTATTAGAGTTTTAGTAACGATTGCTATTTTTTTTCATAAAAGATTATAGCCTATGTCACTCAGGAATAGTGGAGCTTCCAAGCAGTGAAAGAATTTTTCAAATCGGTTCAGTAGTTTCTGAGCCTATTCAATACAAACAAACAAACAAATCTTTCCTCTTTATAATATTAGTATAGATAAGAAAATCGTAGTTTGAAGGAAAAAAAAAGTTAGCATTATGTAGTAAAAGTCAAAAAGTGGTGCAACAAATCTTATACATGATTTCGTTTACTACATTCAAAATCAATCGTCGATATCCGAACATCGTCGGTCATGAAGAATTTATCTTATTTTATATAACGTAAAAATATTTAATTCGGCATTTTTTACAGAAAATGAGACGTGATTTTCTTTCTATAAATCGCCGATGATATATTCTATACACTATCAAAATCTATTGAACTATTTATTTTATTGGGAAATCGCTAATCTATTTCACAGAAGCATCGCGAGCCCTTCCTTACGCTACAATCGAGTTTGCGTAATTTAAATCAAGTCAGTCAGAGAACGTTCTCGGTAGCTACATACTTATTTCGTGCGATATCGTGCGTTTCGGTTTGAAGGGTTTGGTAACCGTTGTAATTATACTGAGACTTTAGAACTTATATCTCAAGGTGGGTTGTGCATTTACGTTGTAGATATCTATGGGCTCCAGTGACCAATTAACAACAGGTGGGCAGTGAGCTCGTCCACCCATCTAAGCAATAAAAAAAAAAGACTGTGGTCATAATAATAAATAAGGTGGTTAAAGGAACTTACCTTTTATCGGAGCACGGGCTTGAGCTGGCGTGACCGAGGGTCGATGAGGTGCTCGCCGGCTGTATCCAGTTTGATTGCGAAAAGACGACACAGAATTCCTCAAGAATCTAAAAAGACAAATGCATATTTTTTTTCTGTTGATTTATTTATTCAAATTAATTAAGATAAAAATAAATCCGATATTACAGTGTAGTCTATTGCAGCCACGAAATAATGGTTCGCTCCGCTTTGAGGGATAGGATATGTATTGTATCAAATCAATAACAAATTGGTGACAATTTCGAAGCTAACAAACAAAACCTTATTCTAAAAGGTATACGATAAACGGTACGTTATCTAAAGTTTGTTTAAAGGAATATAATAATGGGGTTAACTGGCTTACATATTTAAGATATACATTTATTTCTTTGTACTCTTTAAAAAACATTCAAGTTTTTTTAGTTCAATAAATATCGAATTTATGTAACTAGTGGTACCTGTTTGGAATAAGTGTTGTTGGAGATATTTCTTTTTCCCGACAGTCGGGACATTCATGATCCTCAGATTCCAGTAACGCACCTCTTATGCCTTATATGAAAATAAAATTTCATTATAAATAACCAACGAAAGCGACTCTTGTATTGAAAGTTATATATGAGTCGTCTATTATCAAAGGTGGCAATCTGTGCATTTGGACAAAAAATGTTATTGATATGTCAATACAGATTGATTTGAATATAATCGTCTCCTTCAGAGAATACGGTTCAAAACCTGCATTAAATAAAGGTTTATACTTAACCTGTTATTTATCTAAGATGTCGTTCAGAAGTGTTTTGTGACTGCCAATGGAATACATAGTCAATAATTCGTTTTTCTGATTTACCAATAATTGTCCAAAAGTCACATTGCCGGCTTTGATAATAGTCGACTCATATAGCGACGCTTGAAAGGCAAACGTGACTAAGCGACAATGCGTGAACTTTACAGTAGACTAATTTAACGTTGAAATACCTGAAAAAAATTCTATTTTAACGAATCTAGCTGTAGGATTGAAATGATTTTAATAGACCTAGAAATATATATTTTTTGCGCATCAAATATGGTTATTGCCTATCATTTATGTATAAAGCAGTTATTGTCGCTTAGTCACGTTTGCCTTTCAAGCGTCGATATGTATTCGTTCTTGTACTACATACATTCATCACAAAAAGAGTTTCCACAGCACGGTATCATTACAGCATCGGTGAGAAGATCGCGACACAGACTACAAATTAGTTCATCCGGTATGGTTGGTTCGGGAGCGCTGGGTGCGCTACCAGATGGATCACCAGCACAGTTCTCAGAGGCCATATAAGCCTCACTGTGAATTAAAAACATTATTTTAATAAATATAATCAATAGATATAACACCGCTTAGCAACAGCTGATCTTCTAGTACTCCAAAAAACTTACTGATCTACGGCAGGCACTGCAAAGGTTCCACTCGGAGTCATCATGGCGCCCGGTGCCTTTGGTCCTTCAACAGGTACCATAAAACTACGAGGAATACCTGTACTCCGTCGTATTTCCACTGGCTCGCCCTAAATAAGTTTATGCTATGTTAGATCACTTTTCATTTAGTTTCCGTGTCTTAAATATGTATGTGGTTTTATGCGAAATGTGATGATTCTTAGTGTTATTATACTGTTTTAACTCATTCTCACAGCCCACCAGATGGTGATTGCCTAAACCCATACATAAAACAATGTACAGAATACCCACCAAGATGGGTGTCTCAAGAGACATGAGACCAAAGTTCCTTCCTACCTGAATGCATGGTAATAATTGTCAAAATGTATAAATATTCTATTAACAAAACTGAGTAACTAAATTAATTGACTCTTAGAAGGAAGTTGAAGTAACTAACTAATTCAATTAGGTAATTGATCTTACTGAGTTTGCAGCAGGACAATCTTTAATCCAGTGTCCTCGCTTTTGACACTTATAACAAATGTNGAGACCAAAGTTCCTTCCTACCTGAATGCATGGTAATAATTGTCAAAATGTATAAATATTCTATTAACAAAACTGAGTAACTAAATTAATTGACTCTTAGAAGGAAGTTGAAGTAACTAACTAATTCAATTAGGTAATTGATCTTACTGAGTTTGCAGCAGGACAATCTTTAATCCAGTGTCCTCGCTTTTGACACTTATAACAAATGTAATTAGATGGCACTGCCCCTCTCTGATTTTGTCCTCTTATTTTCTGATAACTAGAAAGAAAAAATATTATTTTTAATTCTACATATTAAATAATTATAATATGTACATTAAATCTTTAAATAATAATGCCGCCCTATCAGATATAATCCACAAGGGATAATTATTTGTAAATAAATGCCCATTTCAGCAGCCTTCTGTAGGGTTTTATTTTATGTATTTAATTCTTACTGTTAGGTGAAAAGGAATCATGGAAACGAATCAAAGGGTAGAAGCTATTTGGTTTAAGCGACTTATCTTTTTACTAAAGTTACTCTTTATTTGGCATTAGCATCAACATTTGGCATTAGCATAGCATTACATTACAAGTAATTTTATTCCAGACCCCAATTTTATTTATTATAATACACTTATAAACTTGTAAAAAAAGACTATTGTTAGTCACTTCTCAAAATGAAATGAGATTTTCCAGTAGCAATAAAGTTAGGTTTTCCCTCATTGAATGGATTCCCTCAAAGGAAAACTACAATTTCCAATGCAATGTTTGAATTTTTGAAATCATGTTTTATTAAAACGGTGTTGCAATTATCCTCAATTCTTGTACTATATAATATCAAATTCGTTTTACAAGCACCATATTGCATGAGGGACACCTGTACTACTAGTCTTCACTTGGAATGTTTCACTTGTATTTAAAATTAATTTCATTTGGCGCTGAAAAACTGATTTGATTTATCTTATTATGACCACATATAATATATTTGTATATATGTAAAGTTCAACTCTCAACTTAAAGCATATTTCACGAATGACAATTTTTGTAAAATGTATAATAAACAAACCGCTAAAAATTTATAAAATTATTCTACAGACAAACTTTTGTTACTAATTTGTTGCTACATACTGATTGCATCAATGTTGTTCAATATATAGATAAACAAATAAAATAAAACCATTTAATATAAAATGGAAAACTTAGCTTAACATGTACATGTCTTCTCGCATTAAAACTGTATATTTCAAAACCTACTAATTTTACTGGAGTGTTTTAAAGGTTTAATATGTGATATTTTTAAAATTAATCATCTTTGCAACATTTATTTTTTATTTTTTACCAGTAATATTATGTCTTTTAAATATAGTTATGTATTAATTTTGTTAAAAGTAGTCAAAAAATAGGTAAACTAAAAATAAAAAAAAAACTACGCTCTTTTGAAAGTATTTATAAGAGAAATACTGGTTATACCAAATGATTCTGCATATTAACTCAATTTCGAATATTTTAGGAAATTGTACACTTTTAATGCGAAGAGACGATGTATTCAACAGAAAATTTAAATTGGCATGCAAATTAGTTAAATCTTACTTGCTAGGGTCGTAGTCAAATGTTGATTGTGATATCATAGCATTTATTTTATCCTGTTCGCTACCTTCCATGCGAGATAGATCAGCCAGTCCTTTATTAACAGTAACATCTTTATGTGGAGCTGAATTACTATTTGAGCCTTCCCACTGCTTCTTTGGTTGTTGAGAAAGTGGAACTCTGGCAACCAGGAGAGATGTATTCTTTGGAATCAAAGCATTGTCATCAACATATACTGAAACAACAACCATACCAATTACTTGTAGAATGGTAATATGAGTTGACTTTTTTGCTAATTAAATCATTGGTGTTAAGCAATACTTTATAGTAATTGATTGATTCATATTTTTAATTCGTTACTCAACTATTGACCAACTCAAGGAGGTGACTGGAGGCCAGATATGGGGAGCGGTACATATGGCGCAGAACCGGACCGAGTGGAGAAGATTGACATACAGTCACGGTCCTCAGCATTGAGGGAACGACCAGAAAGAAAGAAGACTCAACTATTATTGACGTAGCTAGTAAAATTTGAAATATGTATGTTTGTATTAGAAATCAATTAATTAATCAGTGTGTTTAAAACATGGCAACTACTACCTCTGAAGTATTGGAGTTTGTAATGAATCCCAAAATGTACAACCGATTTATTCAAAATATACGACCAAAGAACCCATTACACTGTACTTACTCTCTTTGGTTTGAGCATTAGTGATTTCTAAATCAAAGTCCGAAGTTTTGCCAATGCGTTTTTGCTGAGATATTGCAGCTTTCAGGTCACCTACAGATATGTGAAGACCGTCGAATGTAACCGTGTCATAATCCAATGCACTTTTGAATTTATAGTGCACAGACATTTCCAAAATGAAAAAAAAACAAAGAAAATGTAGAATGGATGTTACAAAACATAGCCGTTCACGTGTTACATGCAAGCTAAATCAAGAAAGTTTACAACTAAACAATATAAAGATCCAGACTATTTTGACACATTCATAATCAACTAGATGGTTTGTATTGATCGAATTTAAATACGGTATTACTTAAACTATTTAATATGCACTATATATTATAAGCAACAGAACTTATTCTCTTGAACTTTTAAGTACAAACATTCAAGATCCGGCGTCCGCCATTTTCATTTTTAAGATCGGAATTGGATTCTCAGTTTTTCTCAATCACAGACTACATAAGGTTTTATGGTTTTGCCTGGGCAAAGAACGTAGCTCATAAAACCTAATCTCAAGAAAAAAATTGTTCATCTTGGAAAGTGCACTTTGTTACAGTTCAATATAGTAAGCTGAAACCTACTGTTTTACTTCAAAAGTAGATTATTTGTAATGTTAGTATTGAGGGGCCAAAGCCGACCACACAAACTATTTAAAAAAGTTTTTTTCCAATCGTCAACCTATTGCTAGAAGTCTCAATATTATAAATTTTTACTACTTAAACTGACTTAAAGGATCAAAGACAATCTATCAAGAACGAAAGGAGTTAATATCAAGTTTAAACGTTTATTATGCTAATCTCATCAATCACCTACTTAGACTCATCTGAACTCATTTAATATAATTTAATTTAATTCTTAACATATTTCAAATCTGAACAATTCCTTTTTATTATGTCCTATATCAATTTTGGTGCAAGAATGGTTCGGTTAAAAAAAGCAGGGTGGCAGTATTTACGTTGTAATGTCTATTTGGATATTAGTATTAAATCTGTATCATATCCGTAGATACTACGGTGGATAGAATAGAATATTATTACTTTGTAAAATATGGTTAGCACGCAGGATCAAAAGTTAAGTTATTTTTTTTTTAATTAACAAACCATAATCATATACATCGTCGTCGTGGCCTAAGGGATAAGACGTCCAGTGCATTCGTGTTGAGCGATGCACCCGGTGTTCGAATCTCAGGCGGGTACCAATTTTTCTAATAAAATACGTACTCAACAAATGTTCACGATTGATTTCCACGGTGAAGGAATAACATCGTGTAATAAAAATCAAACCCACAAAATTATAATTTGCGTAATTACTGGTGGTAGGACCTCTTGTGAGTCCGCGCGGGTGGGTACCACCACCCTGCTTATTTCTGCCGTGAAGCAGTAATGCGTTTCGGTTTGAAGGGTGGGGCAGCCGTTGTTACTTACTTGAGACCTTAGAACTTATATCTCAAGGTGGATGGCGCATTTACGTTGTGGATGTCTATGGGCTCCAGTAACCACTTTACACCAGGTGGGCTGTGAGCTCGTCGCCCATCTAAGCAATAAAAAAATAAAATAAAATAAAAACATATAAGATCATTAGAATTTAAAAGAAATAATTTCAAATAGTAAAATAAGCACTAACATTTTTGGGGTTATCTGCGACTAAGGCGTGTAAATTTTCCAAACTGTAAATAAATCTTAAAAGTTTTAAATATATTTACCAATCTCAAAAATGGATGAAAAAAATTAGAAGAAAATTTAAGTGAAATTTATACAAACATCATACAATCACCAACTACGAAGGCTGAACTAGCAAAATATTAAACCATAAACTACTACCTACACAATGTATCCGACTTCGAAGTTGTTCCAAAAACGGAAACAAGAAGTCATTTACAGATTTATTAAATCATTATCTATATTCGTAACTTTACTTCAGCTTAAATAAAACGAATATTTATTAAAATTTAATTACAACTTTAAAAAAGTTACTCAGGGAAATTTTAAAGATATTTTTCAAGTTTAAATTTATTAGATGTCAAACAACATTTTTGGCAATTTGCCATGAACTTCCGGTTCAAGATAAAGACACACGCGGATCTAGTGGGAACAGAATCTAAATAATTTTAATTAACCGGGAAAGAAGACCAAATTATTTATTTTACGCTCTGCAACTATAATGTCCAATAACGGTGCTCCGGATTCATGGGAAAATGAAGCGGAAATAATAGGTGAAAAAGGTGCAAAGGATTCTAATGATGTGTCTTCAAAAATTTCCACGTTGAATGTAAATGCCATGGAATTCGTGCCTTCTTTTTCTAAGCCTTCTCAGGCTAGCGATAGTACCGATTCCCCTACCTCCCCCCAGAAATCAGAAAGCGGTTCTTCGAATTCAGCCGGGAGTCCCGTCTTAAACGGTAAGTTCGTCTTGTCATTTTCTGAAGGTACCTAATAAAACTTTAGTCAATTCCAAATTCATAAAAATACATCTCGATATTGAATTAACTGCATCTTCACAGCAGTTTTAATGTTCCTAAAGTAAAGTATTATTTTAACAGATCCTTAGATTTCAGACGTGACCAAACGAACCTACCAATGTCCGATATCTATTTTTTTCGTATCCAGTTCTAACGGGTTATTACCAGCACGCGGCATGCCGCTTCCACTCCCTTTCAATCCACTTTCTCTTTTTCATTTTTATACCTAATGTTGTGAAAAGTGTTTTGTAGTGTTTGAACGAAATTACAAACAATTCAGTAAATTGAAGTTTGAAATTAAGCTTTCACTTTAACTTACATCTGGTGTTTTATGATGTTTAATAACACTACAATTACACTATATTTAATTTTATATGTAAATTAACTGTAAGGATTGTTATTGTCATATTTTGTTTTGGTTTAAATGATAAAAATGGCATAATGTTATGAAATTTGTTGTACAAATCTTAGATTTTCATCGTAGCTCTAAATTTGATCCATATCTGATAATCATACTATTACTTGAATATTTAATATTCTAAAATTTAATATGTGAATATTACTATTGTAATTAGCATTTAAGGGATATTTTATATAAAGCTCATAATTGCAAAAAGTTATTCTACCTTTTGTGACTAGACACTTAAACTTCTAAATATTGTAAAACTCTTACATTATGTAAATTATTGTAAGTTTTTGTGAAAATAATGTTGAGGTTTTTTAAGTGATGTAAAATTCAGTTGCTACTACATTACAAAAATGAATCAGTGATTTTTCTCTTATCTATTCTAGAGTAAACAAGTGTGACAAGTGGACAGATGTGATAATGAGGCCTATGTTTACACATTTGAAGGATGTGGCGATGGAGGCGGAGAAAGCAGTGATGGTGGTGCAGCATCTGCTTCTCCACGTGTTGAAGAACCACCACCTACTACTGCATCTGTCCCGCCCGATGTCTCGCCCACTGCAGACAGTTGGGAAGTTGAGGCTGATGATGCACTACTCACACCTGAAGAAAACAATGAACCGGAAGAAGAAGAATTGGATACACAAGTAGGAAACACAAATCCTAACGTATGCATGAATGCTTTCTTCTTTTTCATAAATTACAATTCCCAAGAGAATTAAAAATAAGTAATGGTAGAACTTAAGCAGAATGCTCAGAAAGTCTATCTTATCTATTTCTGTCATAAGCAGTAATGCATTTTGGTTCGAAACAGCCTTTGAAGTCATTTGTCAAGGTTAGTGGTGGCATTGACGTTGATGCGGTGACCACTTAACACCAGATGGGCCATGAGATTGTCCACTCATCATAACAATAAAAAAAGAGAATTTTTATTTTTATATGTAGTTGATGAAGTTTTTTTTAAATTGTATTATTTTTAGTTAATTCCTCTAACCACACGTCATTTATCTTTGCTTTGTTTATTTTCAACATGTTTAGCTAAGATAATGCTTAAGTTGTGTGGTAGTATTTTTTAGTATTATTAGTGTTTGCCATAAATAGATTTTGTTAGCATTTTTGTTCAAATTTAGCTAAATATTTTGAACCATTACACAGACTTAAAACAGATTGTCTCATAAGAGTACTAAAAAATAGATCAACAAATTCCATAATTGCTAGTTGTTAAAAACATTTACAATATTTTAGGCAAATAATGTATCAGAATTTTCTAGCAATACTTAAAACTTTTTTGAAAATTTATCCTTAATACCATTTTGGTTCATTTGTACGCATTTGTATATGTTTTTGTCCAGGAGGATGGTGAATTAACAAAAAAGATTCCAAAGAAAAAACCACCACGAGTAGAAGACACACGAAGCAAAAAAGAACATGTAAATGTAGTATTTATAGGACATGTAGGTAAGTTCTATTTCTTTAGTATTGCAATAAGAAAACTGCTTCTAAATTGACTTTTTCTGTAATTTTAACAACACAAACCTACATGACCTCTTCTAAGATCTCCACTAGCTACCACAGGTGTTTAGTTTAGCTTTTTCTCACACAGCAGTAAAGGCATAGGCACTGCTATGCACTTGAAGAGCATAGGATTAGTTATTAGATACCATATACCTAAGCTCTCTACAGAGGATTAGCTGTAACCCTTCTTGTTAACTATATTTGTATAATCTCATTCAATTCATACAATTCTTAAAATGTTAATTTATTATTACTTACTTATTTATGATCATGCGTCATAAAGATCTGATTAAGCCTCTAATGTCGATAATTGAAAGACAGCTAATAAACATACAAATCTTCCAGCTTAAAAATAACAGTTATGTTAACCCCCTTCTCCACAAATATAATTGTGGTTAGCTAAAAGGTTATTAATTTTATTTGTAGATTGATCGATCTAATGTGGAATTCTGATTTTAAGCTTCATTTGTATCTATCTATGCTAAGATCCCAAAATATGATATTTAATAACTTAGAAAAGTTAGTACAATTTAACAATCAAGTGAGTACCTGAAGCCTTCAATTAAGTACACCGAGGCCCTGAGTGCTAATTATCTCATTCAAATAAACTGATTAATTTAGAAATACCCAGGACTTCATTGTACAATCGTCAATGTCACTAACCAAGGCAGTAAAGAAATTGACAATGACCAATGAATTTATTTTCAATTATAGATGCAGGAAAGTCGACTATTGGTGGTCAAATAATGTCACTCACTGGAATGGTCGACAAAAGAACATTAGAAAAATATGAAAGAGAAGCGAGAGAGAAATCAAGAGAATCATGGTACTTATCATGGGCACTGGACACAAATCAAGAAGGTGAAAGTTACTGAAACATTATATAGTTAGTTAAATTCAATGTGATCACCACAACAACATGTATGACTAGCTAGTAATGTAGCAAATGTACAGAAACTTGTGGAATTATCAAATTTAAGTAACAATTATAAATTATGTAAATCTGATGTAATTTTAACAGTCAATACTTTAATTTTATTAGAACGAGACAAAGGCAAAACAGTAGAAGTTGGAAGAGCTTATTTTGAGACTGAAAAGAAGCATTTTACAATTCTTGATGCCCCTGGACACAAAAGTTTTGTTCCAAATATGATTGGTGGGGCTGCTCAAGCTGACCTCGCTGTATTGGTATGTATCATAGAAAATAAAATATTTACATCTATACATGCTTAAATATAAAGTACAAAGTGACAAGTACAAAATTTAGGGAGTGCAAAATTTATTTGGTAAATAATTACATTTCTTTGTATGTTTGTCAATTGAAAGTCTATATTGTAATGAAACTTACACAATGAAACCTTCTTGTTGTCGGTACTTTGGGTTTCTGTTACAGTACCATTAATATCTGATGGTTTAAGAAACTATTTTTTTAGTTACAATTAGTGAAATGGTCACAACAGAGCGTGGCTGGGTTCAACTAGTTGAAAATAAAGAGAAAAACAACATTAAATAATGCAGAAAATTTATTTCAACGTCCTATAATGGTCAATTGTTTTATTTTTTCGTATTTCATTGTTTTGGGTGAATATTTTACTAAGTGGTACTAAGTGGTCACTGGAGTCCATATAGATTTGATACCACTACCCTCTTCTTCATCCATAAAGTAAGAATAATAGCCATTTCTACTCTTGAAACTAGAACTCGAAATTGAGGAAGATGCTATTGAATAAAATAAACAGTTATTTTACACATAATTACAGGTCATTTCTGCACGTAAAGGCGAATTCGAAACGGGTTTCGACAGAGGAGGACAAACTCGTGAACATGCGATGTTAGCTAAAACAGCTGGAGTGAAACATTTGGTAGCACTTGTAAACAAGATGGATGATCCAACAGTTAACTGGGATGAGAAAAGGTAAATTATATAATATATAACTAAATAAAATAAAACTATCTTATTATCTTAGAATATTATTCCGACCTATAAAATCTCGAAGGATTAGCTCTAATCATAATATTATGTCTATTTTGTGATGATTGAAATATAAAAAAAGGTTTTTAGTAAAGAGGGAAGGACAACTTTAAACTTATAAAAAAAATCTACTTTAACAACCATGTATCACTTCTTGACAAAAACCAGGTTCTATAAACAGTTTGAGTTCATATCGACGCTTGAAAGGCAAACGTGACTAAGCGACAATAAATGCTTTGTACATAAATGATAGGCAATAACCATATTCGATGCACAAAAAAATGTATTTCTAGGTCTATTAAAATCATTTCAATCCTACAGCTAGATTCGTTAAAATATAATTTTTTTCAGGTATTTCAACTTTAAATTAGTCTACTTTAAAGTTCACACATTGTCGCTCAGTCACGTTTGCCTTTCAAGTGTCGAAATGTAGAGATAAGATAAGATACCGATACGATAAGATACCCGGTATACTCTCAAGTGATGCGACTACTGCAGTCATATTCATATCCCGTTGGGAGGTCCACAGTGAAAAAAACCATCTTTTAATGAAAAACAAACTTCCCAAAAATATATGCAATTTATACTGTATATCACTTATGGTAGAGTGTATTGTATGCTCTTGTAGGTTGATACCATTACCATCATAACACCTTGCTTGTGTCTAAAGCATATGTGCTTATTTCTATAGCAACCACAGTTATCCATTCTGGTTTGATGGTAGGAATTTTGTGATTTATATCTTATGACAATGGGGATTTCTACCTTATGTTTAACTGATGGTGGTATTCAATTGTAATTTGTGTAAGTATCAGTACACTAAAAAAGTGGTCCCTGAACTCATTCACTCATCTAAGTATTAAAAACGCTAACAATCATAATAAATAAAGTGTAGTGCATTCCTGTTAAGTAATTTTTGCATTTATAAAGAAGGCTGTTGATGAATATTTGTTGCTAGTATTAAGTTTGTAGGCCTAATCACTACAATTTTTTATATAATTTTTATAGATATAATGAATGTCGAGACAAAATTTTGCCTTATCTTAAGAAATTGGGTTTCAATACAGCGAAAGACCTATCCTTCCTTCCTGTTTCCGGCCAAACTGGACAAGGTTTATTAGAACGAGTATGTATTTTCAGTTATATTATTTATTGTCTTTCTGTGTAAATATTGTTTTATATGTCATATATTTTTTCAGCTAACTGAAGATGTATGCCCATGGTACCGTGGACCATCTTTTATCCAACTCATCGACGAGCTTCCGTCTCTAAACCGTAAGATCGATGGTCCATTTATTATGCCTGTTGTTGATAAATATAAGGACATGGGAACGGTCCTCATGGGCAAGGTGGAAGCGGGAACTACACGTAAATCCAGTACATTATTTCTGATGCCAAACAGGGTAAAAATAGCATATTTAAAACATAACTTGTATAAATTTAATAAATTGACTGTGAATATTAACCTTAATTAAACATTAAACACAGGTGCAAGTAACAGTTGATCAACTTTGGTCCGATGACATTGAGGTAACCTCTATTGGGCCTGGTGAAAATGTCAAAGTAAAACTTAAAGGAATTGAAGAAGAAGATGTATCTCCTGGTTTTGTTCTTTGCGACGTAACCGAACCGATTACGACAGGAAGAGTAAGATAATTTATGCGAAATAGTATTAAATTTGTTTACAAAATGCCTACATTACTATACGTTTAGACTTAGTATTAATTAGAGATTTTTTAGTTTTCTGTTGCAACTTTTGAAAACTTGATATTATTTATCATTCCCATAAACTAATAGACACATATTTTAATATCTATCAGTGAAATTCGATTGATTTTTTTACAGGTTTTCGATGCCCAAGTTGTGATTCTAGAACACAAATCCATCATTTGTGCTGGTTACTCTGCTGTTATGCACATACACTGTGCTGCTGAAGAAATTACTGTTAAGGTAAATTCCAGATTGTTAGATTTCAAACAAACCATATTGTTTTCAAGATGATTTTAACTCTGTTAGTTATTAAAAGAATTAGGGGGAACAAGGAAAGAAGAAAATGTTTTAAGTTTTTGAAATCATTCTGCAATAGTCATTGATTTTATCTTTAAAAAAGCGGCGCGACACTATAACCCTCCTGTCGTGGCCGCCTCCAACTACATATCCGACCCAGGCGACGAGGCAACACAATGCCGCCGTTGCCCTTAACATATCGTATCGTATCCTCCTGATCCACTCTCGGTACTTTAAGGCACCCCGAGCCTCGTTCATCGTTCTCGTGTGCAACCTAGCCTAGGTGTCTATGTGCTAGGAAACCCAAAGTTTCTCGCCTTATCTTCTCAGAGGGTTCCGATTCCTATTAGGTGGTAGATTCGGCGAAGCACCGCTCTTGCTACGGCTAGTGTTAACATATTCTCTCAGGTGTGAGCTCACAAACCCATCCGTAATCTCTTATGTTACCTGCGATTAGGTAGAGAAACAAATTAATATTTTTTTATATTCAAAACCTCGCACTCTACGTATTATTTACACTTACCTGAGCACAATATAATTAAGGTTAAACTGCAAACTGCAAAATCACTAGATCAGTGTGTTGTTCCTTTACATGAATGTGCATGCACATTCTTTGGTGTATGGTACAAACAGGAATATATTCTTCAATCTACCCTCACTTTAAATATAACTCTAGATTAATTAAAAATAGTGAGCTCACATCATATTAATCACATAGAAATTCCCTTTTTTATTTACTTAAATGATTCAACGAGTTCACGGCTCACCTGACGTTAAGCGGTTATCTGAGAGCCTATAGACATCACAACGTGAATGCTGCCGCTCACCTTATGACATGAGGTTGAAGCCCCAATTATTGTAAAATGGGAAACTACTGAAACGAGTCGGACAGTCTTAAAACCATAATATATTACTACTCCCTTTTTTCCTCCTTATTAGCTGGTAGCCTAAAGGGCTATTCCAGCTACGCGGCGGATGGGTAGGTGAGCTCATGGGAGCAACCTAAGAGAATTTGCTAACACTAGCCCTATCAAGAGCAATGCTTCGCAGCATCTACCGCCGGATCAGAATCGCGACCCACTTAGGAGACTCTGCGAGAAACTCAGTGGGGTGTGTCTTTGAGTTAGTTCGCACGTAGAACTCTTTGCCGCAATCTATGAGTTCGACGAGGACAGTGTTCGGTGCTTGAGGAGCCCAAAAACATAGAAGAGTGAACGCGGGTGATCCGACAAGACATGAATCGAGCGACGGCGGCTCCGAGTTGCTCCGTCGCCTTGGTCGGATATGTACTATTTCTTGGCACTCTGTTAGTACAACTACTTGTCCGTGGTCATCATATGTTTTATCACCAGCAATATTCAAATTTATATATAAGTTTGCAGGCTATTGACAAATGTAATGCATTAGAGTGCTAAAATTTTAATAGGTGTAAAATATAAAATCTGAAAACTTCTCATCCATATAAATCCTTTTTTAATATAATTTCCAGGCTTTGATTTGTTTGGTTGACAAAAAGACTGGAGAGAAGTCGAAAACGAGACCACGCTTTGTGAAACAAGATCAGGTTGCTATTATGAGGATAGAATGTGCAGGAGTTATATGCTTAGAACCATTCAAGAAATTTGCTCAAATGGGCAGGTTCACATTAAGAGACGAAAGTAAGTTTTTTTTTTTTTTTATTGCTTAGATGGGTGGACGAGCTCACATCCCACCTGGTGTTAAGTGGTTACTGGAGCCCATAGACATCTACAACGTAAATGCGCCACCCACCTTGTTGTTGTTTTAAACTGGCATATTGAATATATGAGCTCATAGCCAACTTAGGTTAAATAGTTGCCATTTCAGGGACTACATTTTACCTTGGGATACGAAAACTAAATCTGAAAACAGATGTCATTTTTTACAATAGTGAATTACCAAACGAGAGTCATGTCACCGAGACTTACTTAACCTACTAAGTAATTTGATTAATATTAAAAATCCTGCTCATCTCTTTTAGATGAGCTTAGTTATAAATAACAATCACCAGTAAAAATTAAATTATTAATTGGAGTGCTATAAAAACAATCAGCAACATGAAATATTTTGTGGAAAAACTTTCATTGTTGAAAAATATATTTAATACAATAATACAAATGTGCAGAGAATCTTTTTAAACAGATACAAATATCTGATATAAGTTTGATATATCTCCTTTTTTAATTCTTGACATCAGAAACAAAAAGGTCCAATATATCCATACATCAAATAGCAATTCATTCTATTGTTTTTATTTTTTGATTACCATCTAGAGATATAGACTCAATATATAGATCGTACTAATGCTTCTTCTGGCGATTCATGCTAATGAATGATAATTCCTTGGAAAATTTACCCTTTTCCGAAATCTATTTAGTAGCAAAGTATTATTCAATTTACGGTGTTCACCTATAAATGTAATGATTCCATTTCCATCCATTTAATTCTCTTATCAGGACGCAGATGATACTGTATTAACTGCATTCTGCTTTGTTTCGAAATTGTTACTTATCATGTGATTTCACTAAATACAATCTATATTATTTTTCAGATAAAACCATTGCGATCGGAAAAGTTTTGAAGGTGATTGAGTAAATCGGCACTACATTGTAATTTAGCTAGGTTAGGCCTTTTGAGAACCTATTAATATTTGCAAAGTGCATGTAAAATGTATTCCAGGGTCTCAAAATCCTGAGAAAGCTCGAGTACAGCTTGTTATATTATTTTTCATAGGAAACAATATATTTTCTGCATATTTAGTTGTCTATTATTATTATATTCAGTTAGATCGTTTCAAATATTTCTTATTACATGTTGTTGATAGTAACTTGTAAAAGTTTCAATTAACAACATATGTAAAATTACAAACATTCTCAATAAACTTTACACAACTGTGAAATAAATGTTTTTTGTTTTTTGATAAATTTATACTCAAAAGTTAAAGGTTTATATAAAAAGGTACTAACTAACACTACAAAATAAAACAAAAAAAGCTAAATTATTGGAGTTGTAATGTCATTGTAGTTGTCGATGGTGAGACTCTCACTCTTCATGCTGGAGTGATCTCTAATAAGTAACAAATTGATGCCATCTAGAAATTGGTCACTCTNAAGTTTAAACAAAAGGATTTTATTATCATAGACATGAATACAAAAAAGTTAAATTAGATAAAGTTTAAACAAAAGGATTTTATTATCATAGACATGAATACAAAAAAGATGGCGCGTAACGGAGAAATGTGACGCGTAACCGAAAAATGTGACGGTAAATTTTTTTCCAACGCCGATAAGGAAGTTTCACTTCAAAAAGCTAAATTATTGGAGTTGTAATGTCATTGTAGTTGTCGATGGTGAGACTCTCACTCTTCATGCTGGAGTGATCTCTAATAAGTAACAAATTGATGCCATCTAGAAATTGGTCACTCTAATCTTATTAGTCTAATTGATACTTATATAAGTATATGATTGATAGTAATTACGATATATTTTTACATAATAATATCAGTTAATTATATAGTGCTGTTTATTTTTAAAATATTCTTTATATTACATACTTTTATTCCCGCTTATTACTTTAATTTGCGTTCAATTTCACTTAAATACATATTGAAGTTGTAGTTTCTTTATATACACTGCAATGTGTACTTGTTATGTTGAATTATATATTTTGCAATATTTTATTGTGGTAGATTTATAGTTTTTACATTTTAAGATTCTGATTGAAACTAAAATTCAGTTAATCATCTTAATCACAAAAAGAAAAGGAATATAAGGTTTGTTTAATTAAATTCATTCTTATTTGGTCACTTGTATTTTAGAATTATAACTTGGTTGGAGTAGAATTTGGTAATTAAGTTGTGTAAAAATATTGAAATGCCTTGTTGATCGTAATTTACACATAGTACTTATATCACTGAAAATAAACACGGCGGTGCGCATTAATATTAATTCCACCACAAGATATTAACCATGTTTATTATGAATTTTATAAATTGTCAGCTTTTAACAATACAATAAAATTTATACATTATAAAGTTATTGTATATGATTTTATTTATTTATTTAAATGAGCGGAAGAGCAGTGAGGTGTGCATATCTCGTTACAGTTTCCTTATGATTAAATTTATTTAAAATCCTTGTTAATGATTGGAAATTGGGCCCAGAGATCTGCACCTCTCCACGTCACGCATTATGGCGTCTGTCAGAATGTCTTAATGTAGGTTGGAATTCGATTCGGCTTAAAATAATTTTTTGCACATTGTTTGATTTTATCCTAGCGCTTCTCATTGCGATTTAGTATAAAATAAAATTGAAAATTACACCACAAATCCTAAAGATTAATTTTCGCGTATAAATCTGTATCACGAATTGTCATAGAACAACAAACTGGGGCTAGCAGTTTTTTTTGTACCTAAATATTCTCGCTAGATTCTAAGATTTATTCGACTGGAGATTGGTGTCGAAAAGTTTTTATATGGGGAAAACAAATAAAAATCGCGAAACAGTTCAAATCACCTGAATATTGCAATCAAAATAATAAAAAAAAAGTTCGCCTTAAATACTATTATTTACAATTTACAAAGCTTATTGGCGCATATTTCGTCTATTGTCGTTCGTCGTTGTTAATGGCCAAGGTTACAGACAGTGTTATCTGTAGGGAATAAATAAGATGCGTTAATATATTACTAGTAAAATTGAACGAAACAACAGCTTAAGCATACCTAGTTTTATGTAGATAAGTAATAAAATATTTTGATAAATATATGTGTTTCAGTCAACGGGTATACTTACACAACTTTTTAATTTTTTTAGTGAACATGGCGGCTGAAACTTATCGGTTCATTCTTGCCTTATGTTCACGAGTGATTGTGATGATCACAAAACTTGCATACGCCCCGTCATGACATATGCAAGTGTAGTGTTCGCTCACGCGGCCCGCACTCACCTAAAATCATTTCAAATTATCCAATCCCGTTTTTGCAGGATAGCCGTCGGAGCCCCGTGGTTCGTCAGGAACGTCGACCTCCATGACGACCTGGACTTAGAGTCCATCAGTAAGTATATACAGTCGGCGTCGATGCGCCACTTCGATAAAGCGGCACGACACGAGAACCCTCTCATCGTGGCCGCCGGTAACTATATTCTCGATCCTGCGGACAGAATAGAAAGCAGTCGACGTCGCCCAAATCACGTCATCTCGGATCCTCCCGATCCACTAACGGTGCTTTTAGGTACTTTAAGCACCGGTCACCGTTCTCGTCGAACCCGTCGCTTGCGACGAAGGGCTCGACGAGTAAATTAACTCTCAGACACAGCCCACTGAGTTTGTCGCCGGATCTTCTCAGTGGGTCGCGTTTCCGATCCGGTGGTAGATTCTGCGAAGCACAGCTCTTGCTAGGGTTCGTGTTAGCATAGTCGTCAGGTTTGAGCCCCGTGAGCTCACCTACTAGCCACGGTTACGCTGAAATAGCCTCTCAAGGCTATCAGCTTAGGTAGGAATAAGAATAAAAAAAAAAAGATCGAGGTGGACCGTAGGCTCTTTCTATGAAAAGCCTAAAATGTCTTGTCCGAAAAACATCCCTGCATTTAAATAGATACTATGAAATATTTAAACAAAATCTAGAACAATAAATTCTGTTCGTTGTAGACGGCAATCAGACAATTTAATAAGTTGCAGCAAAAGATAATATTTTCAAGACTTCATTCTTCATCTAACTTTTTTATCTTTCACGCTTATTACGGTCGTACAATCCACAGCTGTGTGTTACGGTGAAGTGTCGCCACTTCCCGACAATTGCATGGTATCTATGGTGATGGATAATGGTATTCCTTTCATTATTTTTTGTGACTAATTATCACACGTGATTGTTACTTTACGGACCGATACCATTTTAGGTCGCTTTACGACTTTTAGTACTAGTATTTTAATATTGTCAATATCCAATATTATTTGTTTTTAAATTGGACTACTACCTACATACTGTTACGCCGGTAAGAGTAACGCCATCTATCGCCGAATAGTCGAACGAATATCGAAGGATACAGAATGGTCGAGAATTACAACGCCCTCTATTGACAGATAGATGAAACTACGACTAGAGGTGTGTGGAACATTCTCGATAATTCTAAGGATGTGGTATCAACTATAAAAGCGTTGTAGGGATGGCACGCAGTCACTCAGTAATCGAAACTCGAAGCGAAACAGCGAACGGATCACCGGAAGCGAATTGAGAGTTTTAAAGTGTTTTAAGTGTTGAATACAGTTGTTAAGTTCTACTTTGGTGAAATTTTTATTTATCCCGAACCCCAGCGCGTAACAATACTTCGAACCAATTATGTAATTTATTTTTCTGTCGATCACACATGAAGGTTTTTTAAACTGTGTCTAGAGCGGGTGGGCCTCATATTTGATGTAGGCTGGCTTCTGGAGTTAAGCAATTGAAGCACACATCTAGTTACGTTTAGGAAAAGGATATGGATCATACCATCGCCATACCATAATAATTTTTATTTATTTATAAAAGATGATTATCTTTAATTGCCTAATTTATAGGCCGTATCAAATCATTGACATCTTAAGATAATGTGATAGTAGATGTGGCTCATTAGATTAGAAAGCCTCTTGAAAGGCGGGATCTTATGTGACGTTTTCGATTACCTTCCGGCGTAGTGAGCAGATCGGACCTTTGAGGTGGTTCTGGTACAGGTATTTCTCCACAATTAGGAATTGATATTTTAGAAGACAGCCGTTCAGGATACTTAATTTTACTTTTTGGTTACTTGCCTTTTGTATCAGTTAGACATAAATCACTAACCGATGAGTGGTTCGTTCAAATCATAGGAATGGCAATCCATTACACTCCACCCGCTTATAAAATCTGTCCGCGCCGCGTTTATTCTCGTCAGACTCTACCCTATGATCTGTAAATGGAGTAAAATGTCCCTTCGGAACACTACAAAACTTGTTAAAGTCCGTTCAGACTTACGCGAGTGTCGTGTTCGCTCGCCAGACCGGACCGAACACACATAGACAGACACCCTCCAAACCCTACAATCCCGCTTTTGCAGGTTAGCCGTCGGAGCTGTGGTTCGTGAGGAACGTTGATCTACACGACGACCTAGGCCTCGAATTCATCCGAAAACATACGAAGTCAGCGTCGGAACGTTACTTCGATAATTCGATAATTGCCTTATCGTTGCCGCCGCTGACTACTCTCCGAATCCTGATCACGCAGGAGCCAGAGACTGTCGACGCCCTAGACACGTTCTTACGAATCCATCAGAACCCTTGCATTAGACGCCTCCAGCTCTAACGCTAGGAGCAGGCTTACGGACCCCGGTAACCCTACTCGTCGAACTCAACAAAGAGGTCGACGTGCAACCTAACCCATGCATCAGCCCGCTGAGTTTCTTGCCGGTTCTTCTCAGCGGTCGCGATTCCGATCCGGTAGTAGATTCATTGACATTGGCATTTAACGGCCGTCTGGTGTAGTGGTAAGTGACATGGTCACTACACAAGGGGGTCGCGGGTTCGAATCCCGCCAAGGGAAGATATTTGTATGATAAATATAAATGTCTTTTCCAGGGTTATGGATGTATATTAAATATATGTATGTGTATAATAAAAATCTTACATTTATTTCCGTTATCTCGTACCTGTAACACAAGTTCTTTACGAACTTATCACGGGACCAGTTAACGTGGCGTGATTGTTAGTAAATATTTATTATTATATTTATTTATATAATTTACTGTTTATTATTGCGAAGCAGCTGCCCTTGAGTTGTTAGGTTTCCTTCCGAGGCGCTCGGGCAGCTGTTAGCAAAACCCCACCCCTCCTGGCTGAGCCTCTGCAGGCTCACCGGTCCTGTTGAAACTGGAGAGGCCTCCGGGCCACCAGTAATCCCTCATTCAAAAAAGAAAAGAAAGTGAAAAAAGCAAATATCGAGATTTTCTCGCCCACTGAATATTTGGTTTAAAAAACCAAAAAATCTTTTGTAACTTACCTAATAAAAAAACAAAGTTATTTTCAATTGTTTCATAAAAAAAGGGGAATTTTTAATTGCTCCTCTATTTAAAATTCAAGCAAACTAAATCTCCCGACTAATATCTATCTCTTAGGTTTGTGGCGTTTCCTTTTAGATTTCGCCAATGTCAAGTGTATATAATACTCTGCTTTCTATAGCGGGCTTCGTGAACGAGCAAAGTCACAGTTATTCACTAAGAATTAAGTGAGTAGCTAAGAATGTTTAATGACAGGATCTCTGTTGATTTACCTAAAACAAACAAGACGCACACAATATATATACAGGGGTTAGTTCGATAAAAGACAGACAAACTACAGCTTAATATTATTATGGTTAATAAATGAACTAAGAATATAAACGAAAGGGGAGTTGACAAGGCAAAGAAGAGATTTGAGATCAATGGGGAGAGGAATACCAGGAGGAAGGAGATCGTAGAGGGAGGAAGATAGACGAGGCCCTCGCGACTAATAATCCACTGCATATCAGATAAATGACTACGACCAGCCGAAGGATCAGCCAGCCGCCTGGACCATGACTCCAGCACGGACCGCCGAGATTGGGCGCTCTGCGCTCTGACCACACTGGGGCTGGAACGCGCCACGCCCCGGGCACGAAGGTCACTGATAGTCAGCGGTGAGTGCCTCCGCCTCTAGGACCCAAGGCGGCGTCCCAGCCAGTACACACACCGCCTCGAAAGAGATGGTTCGATAAACATGAATGAACTGATCGCGAAGATGCGTTGCGGCTGTTGCAGCAAATTCCCTACCCCACGGCCAGGGACTGGCCCGACACGGGCGCCCCATATAGGGCCATTGATCGCACCACCCTTGTATAGAGACGGCGCGTCACCTGGTCAGGCCCCCCGATATTGGACAGAAGCCGGCTTGACGCGCCGACTACTCCCAACAAACGAGGGACCAGGATCTGAAAGTGAGCACGGAAAGTCGAACGACTGTCCAGAATGAGGCCGGGGTGTTTCAACTGCACCCCGACCCCAATACGGACGCCTCCAACCACGATATGGACATCGACAGGTGGCACCCTCCGGGGCCTGTGGAACCATATGGCCTCGGATTTACTGAGCGCCACGTCGAGGCTCGATCTCCTGATTTTGCCGATGACATGCGCCACCCCGGTGCTAGCAAGACGGGCAGACTCAGCAAAACTCTCCCCGGGGACCTGGGAGGAGGGCACCCCTCAGCACCCAGTCATACCCGGTATTCCAAAAAAAAATGGGCCGAGCACCAACCCCTGTGGAACACCGCGCACGACTGGGAACCGGTGCACAATCCCACCGTGTCCGGTACACGTGACTGATCTGTCCTCAAAGTAGGGACCCACCAGCCGGCGAGGGTAGGGGGCACTCCGTGTCTTTCCAGTGCCTCCCCTATCACGGACCAGAGCAGGGTGTTAAACGCATTGGCGATATTGAGCGACAACGCTAAGGCCACCCCGCCCGTTGATTGGCCCTCTCGGAAGCCATACTGCTCCGCCAACAGATCGGGTCCCACTCCGACCAGAAGCTGGATGATGCCGGCCGCCAGAATACTTTCCAGCAGCTTGCCCACCTCATCCAGCAACAGGATGGGACGGTACCCGGCGGCGGTATCCACCGGGCGAAAGCAACACTTGCCTTAATCATACAATAAGTTTTTTTTTTTGTCGTAATAACAAGGATTGATTAGTTAAAAAAAAAAATGAGTTACCTTACTGTTTTGCAATTGTTAGTGTATATTAAGATTGCACTAGTTGATTTTTTGTGCACTTTAATTAAATAAACACGACTGATTAACTGGTGTTTCATTTAGAATAACTCATGTTCTTAACAGTTTAATAGGTGATGAGTTTGAAAAAAATAGATTTAAATATTTTGTTGCACACACAGAATTATCAGTTTTACTTTTAGTTAACAAATAGTCATTTAGTAAAACAGATTAGATTTATAGATTAAACAGTATATTAGATTTGATTTATTTGATGAGCAAATTTAGTGTGCAATTCAGTATTTTTGGTGGTAATTTCGAATATTTGAATAGAAAAAATTGCATTTACAGTTGTAGGATTAAATACTACCCTAAAAAAAATTGTGATTAAGAAAGAAAAAACATTCTATCGGAAAAAATCGTATCTTTTTATGATATTTTATAGTGACTATGTACTTTTTCCAATACCTGTTAATAAAATATTCATCTAATGCTGTTGTTATACAGTTCCATTTTATGTAGGTATTGATTTATTGTGCTGTATGAGTGCGACTTAAACATTCAAATTCTCGCTAGAACAGTCATATGGACTACATATTATGTCTTATTGATATGCAGATTATTTATAAGAGGGAAGGAAATTCGGAATCATTCAATTTATTTTCAATTTTAAATTGTTATCAAACCAATCTGCTATGTACTCCAGATTTTCATAAAATGAAATTAATACTAAGTTTATTAAATATTTTATTGTGTACTTGAACCTGTGCTAAATTAAAAGACTCAAAAACCTTTATGATTTTCGATATCTTCCCTTATGTACAATTATTTCTAGAAGGAAGATCTGCAATAACTAATTATTAGAAAGTGTGCAATTGTAATTTAATTTCAAGATATGCACAATAAAATTTGTAGACATGTGTCCAAATTACGACAAAAACTGAGTTTATAACATGTTGATCTTCTAATAAAGCAATCATTCACAGTACTATTGAATTACAACATAGCAAGTGTTGAGATAAACTCAGTGATAGTCATAGCTCGGGTGAAATTTACACTGAAAAATGAAGCTAAATTGTACTAACTCCCGTTATATTAATTTAATATAGATTAAGACTAAAATAAACACATTGAGAATACAATACATTAAGAATAAATCAACATAGAGCTTTTTTATATTCACAATAACTTCCTTCATCAAACATCATTCAGTCTTTAATCCAGACATACTTAATATTAAATTCACATTTATAATCTACTAATTTAGTGAAATAAGGCTAACTACCAATATTGAACAAATATTCTTTCATCAGTCTCAATATCATACTTAAGTACCAACCTACAAAGTACCTAATGCTGGATTTGACAGACCTTTAATCCTGAATTTTTATGCTGCTTTTGGTTACATTTTGATTAACTTGATCATTTTCATATTCAACGAAATCATCAAATAAACTGGGCCATGCTTCCGTGTCATCATAGCTGCTGAGATCATTTCCAACAAACTCACAAAAATTTAAAAACATGTACCATGTATCTTTTGGAATGCCTCTGATTTGTGGGTTCTTCTCAAGGTAATTTAGCCATCGATCCAAGATTGGAGGCTCATTATTTGTGAAAACTAGGCGCCACAAAACAATAGCTATATCTGAAGGTAAGATTCTTTGTCCAGAACTAACATCTAGTCCAAACTTAAAGGTAAATCTATACAAATCCTTAAATTGCTCTGGTTCTCTTTGCATTTCAACAGATATGTCACCTAATTTGTGCTGTATACCTTTAATTGAATCAGTTTTCATATTTTTTAAGCCTTGAACAAACTCGGACTTTGTAAATCTACACATTTGACTAGCATTTAACTTCCATGCCAATATTAAAACTTTAAAATCATCAGGACTTAAATTAAGGTCATTACATAGATTTTCAATGCCTTCTGCTAAGATAGCGTCTTCTATAGAATCTTTATATTGGTTAAATAACATATTTATTTTGGTTTCTGATATCTTCTCACTTGATCCTAGTGATGACATTGTCCGTGGAATTGATGGTAACTTTGGGTTGAATAGTTTAGGAGTTTTTTCACAAACTAAGTTTTTCTGCACATTTAATGGATCACATGAACTTTGTTCACCAAAAGAGTTCAATACTTTCAAGTTATTCATGTTTGTATTCAAATTATTTTCACTAGTACTTAAAAGGGGCTCCACTTGAGGATAAACTGACACAGAAACAGATATATCTGTCACCTCTAAAATATAGAAAACATCACATTAACAACATTAGTTTAATTAACATTTTTCTCAGTAAACTACATACTCACCATCATTTTTTGCGTGGGGTCCTGTGATACTTCTTATTTCAGCATTAGCTTGAGATTTGAAACAGCTGAGACAGTGGCCCATTGGATAAACTGTTGTAATATAATTTTGAATACATAAAAAATGTTCCACATCCAAAACTTCGACTTAAGAGCTTCTCACTCCTTTTATACATAATGTGAGAACTTAATTAGTTTTTTTTCCTGTTATCGAAGTACTGTAAAGGCAAATAATGACTGAATTAAAACAATTGATAATATTTTTATTTTGAAACTTTTACTAGATTTTTTGTCTAAGGATTAACTTACTAAACGTTACATATTTCTTTTTGCTTTCTATAGAAGCTACAAGGTAAGATTTCAGTAATTGATATTATATGTACCAAAATCCACCAATACCAAATTGAGTTGATTTTGATTAGAAACTAAAATTTGTATTTTTCGTAGATCTTCAATCTTTGGAGATCATACGACAGTGTCATTGGTGTAATCTATGTTGCATTTTAATGCCTAATATTACATTATCGTACTGATACGAAAGTATTAATTATTAGTAAACTAAATCAGAGATAGTTTAATTCAAAAAATAATGTAGACTTTTTCCACATATTCTATAAATTACACGAATTTAAGAAAGCGTGGAATGAGCAGAAATCTTTATTTACTTTCTACAATGCTGTTGTACTCCAAAACGATCTGTAGGCTTAGTGCGAGTTTCAAAAATCGAATCGAATGACTCGCATCGAGTGTACGCTCTTCACGGTGAAACGTGCGGAGCTCTGAGTGCGAGTTACTTGATTTGCAGGACGTTTATTCATCTTGAGAAGCGATAATTTTTTCTTTTATATTGGTAGCACGCAAGGGTTTTTTTAAGGCGTTTAATTGAAATGCCAAGCTTTCTAACGATATTTATAATTATTCGGGTAATGGGTAATGTACCTGTGCTTAGTGCGAGTTTTTTTAATTACTCAGTCGATGTTAATGATATGTTTAATTTGTGTGAGGTTGTATCAGTGCCACCTAGTGGTAAGCTTATGAATCTCATTTTGTGGGAGAGAGAAGGTTTGTTAATGTTGCTGTCTCATGTATCGAATAGCTTTACCGAAGTGAGCCNTATACATAATGTGAGAACTTAATTAGTTTTTTTTCCTGTTATCGAAGTACTGTAAAGGCAAATAATGACTGAATTAAAACAATTGATAATATTTTTATTTTGAAACTTTTACTAGATTTTTTGTCTAAGGATTAACTTACTAAACGTTACATATTTCTTTTTGCTTTCTATAGAAGCTACAAGGTAAGATTTCAGTAATTGATATTATATGTACCAAAATCCACCAATACCAAATTGAGTTGATTTTGATTAGAAACTAAAATTTGTATTTTTCGTAGATCTTCAATCTTTGGAGATCATACGACAGTGTCATTGGTGTAATCTATGTTGCATTTTAATGCCTAATATTACATTATCGTACTGATACGAAAGTATTAATTATTAGTAAACTAAATCAGAGATAGTTTAATTCAAAAAATAATGTAGACTTTTTCCACATATTCTATAAATTACACGAATTTAAGAAAGCGTGGAATGAGCAGAAATCTTTATTTACTTTCTACAATGCTGTTGTACTCCAAAACGATCTGATCTGTGGGAACAAACAATTCTATTGGTTCTAGATTTTAATATTATTTATTAAATATTCCACAACCCGATGAATACAGTCCTTGTCCGCGTGTGTTGAATCCGTGATCGCGGAGTGACCGTGTGTGCTCGTTTAGTCCGGGCAACTTGGCATTGGCGGAGTCACTGGTGAGCGGGGGCAAATGATTGCTTAGACTGCGATTATTCAACCACTCACCATCAGAAGGGCCATATACTCGTCTGCCTACACCGGCAATAAAAAAAAGCTTGAGGTTGTCATGAAGATCTACCATATAACACATACTCAACGTTCCAAGGTGCTCCAACATATATCCTGATGGAATAGGATGACTTGGAGCGAGTTTACGTGAGTGCGGGCCGCATGAGCGAACACTACAATTGCACAGGTCATGATTGAACGTATGCAAGTTTTGTAGAGTGTCACCTTGTTACGAAGGGACTGTTTAATTTGCTTGAAGATCATGAGGTAGAGACGATCGATTAGGAACACAATCCCTCCTAAACACTTGAAGAGGCCAAGGTTAGGGTTGAGTAAAGATATTTAAGACGGAAATAGAGTTCCGTGCCTAATTCGGAAAGGAATACTTGGAGTGGCGTGGGGAAGGCGAAGGTTGATATCGATGCACTGCTTCCGGAACTATTGTCCTAAATTGGTAGCTGCGATCTGGAGAGACAGGAACGTTATTTGGTGTTTAGGGAACTGTTACTAAAATGAATTAGTTTATAAAAAAAGTTATCAATATTCATTAGTGAGCTAAAACTTCAATCACATTTCATAATTTTATGCTGAAATTCATCTGGTTTACTTTAGGAGTGGGTAATATCGGTTTTGCCACGTATCGAATCGTATCTATATATCGAGGATCAATATCGGATATTGAATCTATATATTTTCTGAATCCATATATTGATGGATGCTAGTAGATTTTCTCGATTCATGATATTTGAGATTTGAAACGATACGCTGATATAATATCGTAGTAGATATAGATTTAAGTCAACGTTATACGGTTGGTTTTCTGATATCAATTTATAATATGATCTTAAAGTAATAAAAAGAACATGAAAATAAAAATATCAAAAAAACTTTCCTTCATGCTTTTACCAGGCTTNTATAATATGATCTTAAAGTAATAAAAAGAACATGAAAATAAAAATATCAAAAAAACTTTCCTTCATGCTTTTACCAGGCTTAGGACTGGCTACATTATTTTCAGTTTTTAGTATTTTGTGTCTTAATTTAAAATTACAAAATATACCAAAAGAGTGTAGATTTCAAAAGTTTAATACAAACACAAGAAATAAACTCAATTACTTGGATTCAACTAAAAATAGAAAAATGTGTACTTTAAAAATCAAACACAAAAAACTTTTAAGTATTTATAAACACTTGTCCAAAAATTCTAGTTCAAGGTCAAAGCGCGTGAAATTAAATTCAACGATGCAAATAGGCTATACTGCATTCAAGCTAGGGTCGAAAGTTGAAACTTCTTTCCTTAATTGTATCCTGCTGATACGCTAAGAATAATCTACAGACATATGGACTTAAATATAAGGTTTACAATTGTATGGGTAATGCCCGTTTCTGTTTCATTCATCACATGATATCCCTATCGTGCGCTCACTCACTCTGGCCGATTCAATACGAACCAAACGAATATTGCTGATATTAACGAATCGGTACGATATGCCGATGCGCATCACATCGAGCAATATCGTGTATCGGCTGATTTCGATTCACGAATCGGTCCGATATGGCGATGCGCATCACATCGAGCAATATCGTGTATCGGCTGATATCGATATATAGATTTCGTGCGGGGCGATATTGGATTCAACGATATTGCTGCGATATATAGATATTGAATCTATATACGATTTATATCACCCACTCCTAGTTTACTTACACCGTTTTTTAAATACTAGAATATGCTGAACTAGAATATGCTGAACTGAGTACTGATCCACCAAGTTCAGATCACTCCTGGTAATCCTGGTTAAAAAATAGACATCGAAAGTAAATCTTTATAAGCCAACCACTTATGCCACAATCTCTCATTTCAACTGCCGCAAAAAGTATACTACCTACCTATTATTTATAATTAGTACAAATATGGTAAATAACAAGTACATATAGGTAATCTATATTTACCATATTGACATGAAAATTTTAAGTTCTATCACATAGATTATACACTTCAATATATTTTCTATCAATCACATTTAATAATTTTCTGAATAGTGTATTTACTTTAACTATAATGAGACTACATATTACCAATTCACTGATTTATCTTAACGTTTTAATCATACTTCACGAGGTCTGCGATGGACAAGTTGAAGACAATATCAAGAAATACCAACACTAAGAAGAAAACCATGGTTGTTAAACCACGAATATTCCCCACATCTTCCAGATAACCATTTCATACAACGTTGGAGGGTACAAGACCACACGTTAGGTTTCCTATGCGGTAGACTATTCAAATTAAGTCTACATAGTCAAAAGTAGTTTTAATGAATGCAGTAGCATAGTCTCGGGTAGGAAGAGGTGGCGGAACATCGCAAGGGAAATCAAATTTGCCGCTCCAATCGAATATGACGACCACGATCACTCTGTCACGAATGTAGCGACTGAGAGGACCGAGAAGAAGAATCGTATGCTGGAGCCTTTTTAGACGGCGATAAAAGTCTGAAAATTATACGGGAGAAACTGGTGCCCTACAGGTGACGATTAGATTTTGAGAACCGACGTAAAGAAAGAAAAGTCATATTCTCCTGCTTCATATAAGGAAGTCCAAATGTTTTTTTTTTTATTGCTTAGATGGGTGGACGAGCTCATAGCTCACCTGGTGTTAAGTGGGTACCGGAACCCATAGACATCTACAACGTAAATGCGCTACCCACCTTGAGATATAAGTTCTAAGGTATCAAGTATAGTCACAACGGCTGGCCCACCCTTCAAACCGAAACGCATTACTGCTTCACGGTAGAAATAGGCAGGGTGGCGGTACCTACCTGCGCGGACTCACAAGAGGTCCTACCACCAGTAAAAATGGTGTTCATATGTTTCATATTAATCAGCTTTATTTCATTTCATAATATATTTCATAAAAATATATATATATAAAAGATAAGACTGTATGGTGTGATACCTTTGCCTTTCCATTTGGAAAGTAAAACTACTACTACCTACTAGTTTTTCCCACCACTAAAACGGTTACGAACTTTCATTTCAAATTTAAAATTTTTAAACGGAACTTAAACTTAATTGAATTGATTGTGAAACTTGAGTGATTTTTGTGGTATTACGATTACCTTTACAAAGACAATTAATTTTGACCACTAATTGTCTTATAAATTATATTTGAATAATTGATTTCTAATTCTTTTACATCGACATTCGTATCAGTTTCGTAATTATTTTTTATTTGTGAAAGAAAAGCAGTCTCCTTGTGTTGCTTAGATTTTTATAAAGTTTAATAATCGTGAATCCTCTACGCTAGATACTAAGATGAGCACATTCGAAGACGACTGGAATTTCCAGATAAATATTGAAGACATTGAAAAGAAGAATTTTGAAGAGTTCGAGAAAAGCCTACGTTATATAAATGACCATGTTTTCAAACTGTTAGAAGAAACATTCAAAACTCAGCGTCTTGATTATAATTGTGGTACTGGCCGCAGTCACGACGAAGAACTTAAATTACTTATTGATAAGAACAAACAATTACGACAAGAAGTTGATAACAAAACTAATGAGATTTTAATTCTTCAAACTAAATATGAGAACTATAAAAAAGGTTTGTATAAATACAAACAGGTTTCACACAGATATAGTCCACTATTCTGCCATCAGTACAGGTTTGAAGTATGAATCAGCCATTATACAATACACTTCATGTTTAAAAATATCCACACCCTTGAAATCACCTAACACTCAAATAGGCACTGTTAGCCAGCCTGCCAAATATTGCCTTAGAATGCCAATCTAAATAGGCAATTTCAAGTGTAGATATAAAAATTTGTTGTGAATTTGACAGTTGGTAACGGGTTATGCTTTATAATTCAACATTTCTATAAACCCATTTGAAATTGTATTAATGTAATGAAGAATGTTTTCATTATTTATGAACTTCTGCTTCTAATATCAGTGTATCATGTTAAATATTATGTCAAAATAAAATAAAAAATGTATCATTATAAATGTGGTGAGCTAAAAACTTTATGCTATGTTAAATTTAAATAGAAATTGCTAAAGTTGTCCACAACTCGGGCCTAGTCAAGAATATGGTAGTTTTGATTGTTTATCAGAACCATTTTTTTATTGCTGATGATTTATTTTATTTCTATTCCTTTTAAACTCATACGTTGAAACTCATCTCATCATTCATTGCTCTATCATCCACTTTGACAAATTACATGAGAGCGACTATATAATATAATCCTACTGTAAATTATGTAGAGTAAGTATTTCCAGCTTGTGTCCTTATGAAGATAGATCTAGTTGTTTGGTTTTTTGATGGATTATTGTTATACTGTGACAGAATTTGTCTTGAACTGATTGGACTTTAAAAGATAAGATACCTGATATGTTAATGTTCAAGTACCACAAGCAGGTCAAAAATTCAAGATATACCTGCCACCTGATGGTGACTGGTTACCGTCGCCCATGGACTTCAGCAATGCCAGGGGCAGAGCCAAGCCGCTGCCTACTTAAGTCTCAGTATTAACAGTACAACTGCTGTCCTACCCTTCAAACCAAAATGCATTACTGCTGCACGGTAGTAAATAGGGTGGTGATACCTATCTATGCGGACTCAAGATGTCCTACCATCAGTAATAAAATACATAATTTTAATATATTTACATACATACATAATTTTTTTAATTAAAATTCCATTAGCTATTATTACTAATATTTTTTATTACAGATCAAAAACTGTTATCACAAGAAGTCAAAGAAACTCATGAAGCCTATTTGCTAACTAAGAAATTTTACAAAAAAAAATTAAAGATGTATTATGCTATTGAGTCAAGGGAAGCTGAAAAAGAAACAATATTTATTCAGTTTTTTACTGAGTGTAAAAAAGATCCAGAAAACTATTCTGTAAGACTTTTAAGGAACACTAAACTAAGACATTATCAAAGTAAGTTCTCCATTATTTTGTTTTTATAAGGAGTATGTATTTAAATAAAGGAAACATAGATTTTATTAAGAACTACTAAATCTAATTAATAATTTGTTTATTTTTTAGTATTGCAGATATCACCTAAAATTAAAATTGAAAAAGAACTTAAACAAAAAATTTACAACCCAGATGACGTATCTGGATTATTATGTTGTATAAGACAGGAATTTCTCAACATTAAACAAAATAAAGTATAAGAAGAATCGAAAAAGGTCATTAAATACAGTCAAGTTGGGTAACTTTGAACACTTTTCGCAGATTTTTGAGTACACTGAAATGTTAATGTATTGGTTGCACTTTTTTATAGTGTGGTAAGTGCTCTTTCATTCCCGAATTATCTAACCAGTATGATGTATTAATACAGAAAAGGTTATGAAAAGAAATAGAGGTTTTAGTGGCCATTCAAAGTTACAATGACTTTTGGATAATTTTGATTGGAGTTATCTGGGACAATGAAAATCCTCTATAATTCACTAATTATTTGATTTGGGTAACATTATACTTTTATTTAGAATAAAATATATGTAGAGATGTCAAAATAAAGTGAGTGTCAAAGACATATATAATATTGTTCACTATTTATCTATCAAATGAGATCAATAAAGACTGATGAGATCAAAAGTTACAGATGAGCAAAATGTTATTGAAAAAATCATTCACCCCATTTCATGAACAAAATATCATCATCTATGAAAAACTTTCCATCCCTTCTTGTTAATTGATGTTTTTTCAGTAGAGACATTATGTTCTCCTTGAAATTGAATAAATTTGATAAAATAAACAGTTATTGTTTATAGATAAGTCAACAAGAGTTTTATGTATCTATCTACAAAAACTTTGTTAATAATATGCTTTAACCTTTTCATTGGTGTTACTTTGAGCTTGATATCCGTTTTTTAAGGATTCACTACGCTTACGTTGTAGATGTCTATAGGCTTCAGGAACCACTTAACACCAGGTGGGCTGTGAGCTAGTCCACCCATATAGGCAATAAAAAAAAATAAAAAAAATGGCAAGGTAGAATTTATTTATTACTTGACACATTATTTTGAAAAAGAAAAAGATACTCATTAAATTAATAAACAATTAACAGATATTTGTTGATATTGCCAGAATGTCATCACAATACAAATTTTGTTTCTGTTGTGTGGATAAATCTATGAGTCCGATTTTGTTAAGAACGTTGCTCACAGCTTCGGAATCTGTACCTAACACCGGCCACTCACATGCGCACGAATACGCAAACCCGCAAGTGAGGGACGACATTTGCAAATGATTATGCAAAGTTTTCGCTGCATTCGTGGTGTTCCAAGCTGTGTCGGTTTTTTAACAGACATCAAAGCGCGCGAACCTCGAACCTTCGCGTAGTCTCCCACACATTCGCTTGCCCAGTTGCGCCGACGATTGCGAAGGTAACGGACGTCCGTTACCTTCGCAATCTACTATAATCTAACGTGACGTCTACTGTGTAGCGTATCTTCATCAAAAGAAATCCCATAAAAACAGCATGGCTGTTAATGATGTCTGGGAAAGAATTAAAAAGGAGGAGAAATTCGTGAGACATTCGTAAACAAGTGTAGGAGGAAGCGCAAACGGGTTTGCAAATAGAGTATGCGAACCCATTTGCATAGCCGCTAGGTTTGCGAATGAATGTTTGACGGCCCTTCACATGCGCGCAAACATTCGTACAATGTACGAATATTTGCGCGCATGTCAGTGGCCGGCATAAGGATTGCGATTCGGTAAATATACTCGCGAAACAGCTAACCTCGTAGCGATTGGAGATGCTAGCAAGAAACGCTAGCAAATCTCATCCCTCCTGGCTGAAACCATGCTTATTATTAAACTGACTTCTGTTTGCCCTTAAGATAACTTTAAATAAAGGGTGAATTTAATACAATGTTTCTTTATTTAATTAGTATTTATTAAAATATAATATAATAATTAAACGACAAGGTACACAATGTGTTTTAGAAATAAGTTACTTAAAGTTATGTAGGCTTTGCATACTGCAGTACCTATTACCTATAATTTAATAAAAATATTAAAATGGTTTGGAAGACTGATTGTGTGCATAGCGTAGTTCATATATCTGTATTATTTAGACATTTTCTCTACTAACACTGGTATATTATTCTAAGAACAGTTATTTTGTAAAAATATTTGGTTTATGATACGTTTGATTATTTTTAGTAATATTTATGTAGATTTGATTCAGTTTTATAATTAATTTAAGTTGACATACAAACTTCTCAAATCTATTCACATTACAAATAGCCGTACAGCATCCACATTAACTGGATCCGATCGAGCCGGATTCATTGCTGCTACAAAACAATCGCACTGTAATGTATACGATATAAAAGTCGATGTGAATGTGTTAATGTGTAAAGTTTTTGCGGTTATCTATCTACGTTTTACAGAATATTATTAATCAGGTTTTTACCACGATTTTTACCTTTTATGTGTTACGGGTGGAAAATGGAATGAAAGTAATCATGGTAAGAATCCGTTAAATAATAGAGTGTATAAATATATAACATTTTCATGACCAATTGATTTTGTCTGTAAATATTACCAAATATACATAAAATAAATAGCAACTTTAAAAACAAAAACATGTAAAGGTACTGCTGCCTTTAGGTTCTGAATAACACCCTCAATGGTTTTACATAAAAAATACCCAATGACATATTTTTGAAAGCCTCAATGTTGCTAATCAAATAAACATCTTAGTTTCTCAATCAAATTTAAAATGCTATTTTTATTGATTATATACTCTTATTTATTTGAAATAAAATGTTTTAAAAAAAATTGCAATTTCATTGTAATGCAAATTGCGCATTATTTTTTAGACTACCGCTTTATAATTAAGATCATTATCCCATTATAAGCACCGCGTAAACCCTTTCTATTTTCTGTAAAATTAAAAAGTTAGGTACTGTGTTATAAGTCTAAGCTTTAATTAATACCATTTGGGTTTTAATGATTACTGATTACCAATAAATGCTCTAACCAGTTTCAAATACATTACCTAACTAATAACCTCGTCACAGTGCGGACGATGTAATTTGGTCCATTTTTTATAATTAATATTAAGACATACTACTGCCACAATAAATGTTTATTTTGTACTAGCTTTCTGCACATAATTCCGGCCGCCCGATTTAAAATTTTTATAGCTTATATTACTTAACTTTATATTGGCGGAGATTCGTGCTCTGCTGTGGGATAAAAGCTAGCCTCATAATAAGGTAATTCGTGCTCATGGTTCAAACTATTTCTGTAGCGAATTTCGTCCAAATCGGTTTAAAGATTTTGGCGTTATAATTTATAGACAATCAGTTACTTCCGTATTAATAAGAGTATAGGCAGTATGTACCACACTATATATTTATGCATATTATATCAACTCTCTTAACTTTACTGTCCATACTTGTTTCAAATAACAACTTCAATGTTTCAATATGATGAAATAAGTTTTATCAGTATAAAATAATAAAAACTAAAACAAAATCTTTAGGGTTTTATATGAGTCGACTATTATCAAAGCCGGCAATCTGACTTTTGAACAATGATTGGTAAATCAGAAAAACGAATTATTGACTTTGTATTCCATTGGCAGTCACAAAACTCTTCGGAACGACATCTTAGATAAATAACAGGTTAACTATTAACCTTTATTTAATGCAGGTTTTGAACCGTATTCTTTGAAGGAGACGATTATATTCAAATCAATCTGTATTGACATATCAATAATTTTTTTTTGTCCAAATGCACAGATTGCCACCTTTGATAATAGACGACTCATATATGCTTTTGTTCACATATTATTTTAGTGTGCATCTAATAATTTAATGTAATATGTGAAGAAAATCTCTTTACTTCCTCATGCCTTAAATGAGCTACGCGTTTCACGGCTTCCGTAGTCTGGTGGTATAGTCGATTAAAATATTCTATTGATTAAATTATTGAAACAAACTGTGCTGTGCTGAGCTTGGCTAAACCCGTTTTTTTATGTCCTTATATTCTACAAACAATTTTCTGCCTTACGGGACGAGATGCGACATGCACGCGTCGTGTATATAATTATGTACATATTTAAACGTTCTATGATAGTGGGCATGGTCTGTGCTTCGGTCACCTCTGTTAAAAAATATATTTGAATTTTAACTATAGTTTTCTGTTTTATTTATGTAGTAAAAAGAAGAGTAACATGTAAAATGATAGTAAAGAATAATGATAATTTTAAATATATATTTTATAAATTCGAAACATAAGTAAAATTTTATCGACATGTTGATGTTTAGTTCATTTATGGATAATATTGGTCAATATTGGTCCGCCCACGTGGCCTATCTTTATACCGCCATTTACCAAAATTCACTTCTGCGTACGTATATGTTAGCGCTAGAGATCCGTGCCGCTTATAATACGATGAAATGCGAGTCTACCATATACCTTAACAAGGCGAATTTTGTTCAACTCTTCATTATAGGCTAGGAGGTGAAAATCAGTTTTATAGAGCACAAAGCAGCGCATCACGTTGGCCCGTCACTCTCGGACAGCATGATCTTAAAGGGCGTCAAAGGAAACTTGATTTTTGGGCCGAACTAAATGGCTCATGTGTTCCCTTGAATTTTATATGGACCGATATAAGTACCTCAATTTAATCCCGAACGTTACGCGTAGTCCATGCAAGACTATGGGGCCAAGAAGTTCTAATAAAATAAAAATGATATGCCAATAGCATCTTAATATAAATTGTTTAGACGCGAATAGTCTGATCTTAATGAGATTTCAGGAATTTAGTAGCAGGGCAGATCGAATTCAGTGTAGGTACCGTGTGATGTCTTAATGGAATGGAATATTTTTAGGATATTTTCATTTTCCCATTTAATTTTCCGTAAATATCCTTTGACGATGAATCGTGAGCAGCATTGGAGCACGTGTTTGCGATCTCATTACTTTTTACAGTAACTGGAATACCTGCCGACTTTTCGGGTAGTAGCAATGCTCCTAATGCAATGAAGTGCAGCGAATAGTAAAATTTCCTGAAACAAGTGCGATATAATGTAAACTGAAATAATTTGTAAGTTACATTTAATATTTATTTTTATTAAACAAAATGCGGTACCCGTAAAATGCGAGGCTGGGAGCTAAGTGCAGCAACACGAAGGGCACTGTAGCGTACGTCATCGCGATGCGTGTCGTCATGAAAGTCAGGAAATCATAGAACAGCTTTTTCGAACGACTGCCCAAAAACATAGGACGTGCTACCGATCGAACCTAGATTAGAATTTTCAATTTTAGAACATGCACTATGCATCTCTAGTTCTACATGAATTGACAAAGTTAGAGAGCGGTTAGGATAATGCTAAATATATATTGCAGATGAATTTTAAAAAAATAAGTTTAAATTTCTTTATTTAAAAAGAACGTATTATGAATTGAATGCAAAAAAAATTAAATCTATATAATTATATAAAAATGAATTGCTGTTCGTTAGTTTAAAACTCGAGAACTGCTGGACCGATTTGGCTACTTTTGGTCTTGAATTATTTGTAGAAGTCCAGTGAAGGTTTAAAAGGTAAATAAATATAAAAACGCTCGGAATTAAATAAAAATAATTTTGTTTTCCCTTTGATGTGTCCTTTTGTTCCTTTTGTATGTTTTAAGTTTATTTTATACAGAAGTTTAGGTCTTTTATTTATCGATTGAGGCACTACGAAGTCTGCTGGCTAAAATGTTGAATACCTTTTTCGCCACAACAGTGAAGAGTCCCCCAGCGAAGAAGGTGAGATAGTATCCCGGATGGAAGCCGTGCCAGACGGCAGAGAGTGCGTACACACGAGCCGTGCGCCACGCTTTTCCGCCGCGTTCGTAAGCTACACCGCGGAGCCACGAATTCGTGTTCTTGTTCCAACTGGCTACGGCAGTGCGAAAATTTTGGGCAAACTGCAATACGCCAAATATAAGTCAACCTTTTTTCCCCTACCTATTCGCTGGTATTAAGATGACTATTAAGTTGGACGACTATTAATTAGGCTATTCCAGCTACGCCTGGACGGGTAGGTGAGCTCACGGGCTCAACTGAGAAAATTTGCTAACACTAGCCTTAGCAAGAGCAGTGCTTCGCAGAATTATCACTGGATCAGAATAGCGACCTACTGAGAAGATCCGGCAAGAAACTCAGTGGGCTGTGTCTATGGAATAAAGCAACCGTTAAAACCACTTCTACACTTTATTATTACAATTTTGCATTTAGAAACGTACCTAAACATATTTTTATGAAAATGATATTAGACGTTACTTAGCCTGATGCTCTAGTTTCAAATTTTCACGATGTACAGGGTGTTTCGAAATAAATGAAAATCTTCATTCAATAAAGTCCTTTTAAGTTACTTAAGAATTTTGTGTAAATTACATGTACATTACAAATAGATGTTTTTTAAGTCTGAAATTTAATATAACATACAGATAAACCTGATTAAGCACAACTTCAACCGAAATCTCTTTAGAAATGCATTTCAGAAATACGACATACAGTTTAGTTGTCCCAAAATGTTAGTAATCGTGAAATCAGCGGTTAGTTCACATATCGTGAATACCAAGTCATCAATTTGTACGTTCGACTGTCGCTTATAGAAATAAAGATAACTAGCTATCATATTTAGCTAGCTATCGTTATAGAGGTCGACGTGAAAAAAAAACGAGTTTATTTTATAGAGGTTTAAAATGACGGGACCTGGAAATTACTCTCATTCGTGCAGTGTGTAACTTATTCAACGCAGATTTGACTATAATGTATTGTACTATACACATTTATATACAATTGCCTCGTACCATAATATTCACGGTCTGGGGCCTTTCGTTCACTTCTCTATTTGCTTAAATATATGAATGAGGTTGCTTATAAGAGAAAACTAAATTTTAGTTATTTTTTTAAGGTAAACATTTTTTGGGACACTGTTTCTCTTATTAACTTATTACGTCAACCCACGAAATGTAAGTACCTATGTAATTTATGGTAGGTACGATTTCATAGAAAAAAAATTAGTTATTCATATTAGTACTTTGTAACTTATGTGAAAATGTGTTAGTCTGGATTTTATATTTTTATTACGTCATTATTTCTCAATAAAACTGAATAGCATTTGTCATGTACATGACAAAGTCACATTAGTAGACAGTAGATACTGGTACTATAGTGTCTAGACTTCGACTTCGTGTCTCAAGGAGGGTGGCGACGTTGTAAGTCTACAAGGTTCTCTTTTTTAAATTTAACGAACCCTCAAACAACTGTTTAAATTTTTCGGCATCAATGATCCGTGAAGCTCACCACTAAAGCGAATGCTGTGTTCTCCACGGAACGCGACACGAGTACCTAGCCATAGTAGTAGCCATGACACTATGTTAATTTCTTTAAACTTGGATTACGTATTACAGCTCGCGGTAGTAATAGAGGTGGTGATAACTGGCGTGGGTTGATAGCACGCCGTATCAATACTATTTAAGCCGAGTGCTATTATCAAGGAGATTTCCACGATTACACCTTATTTTTCAAAGTTATCAACATGGAGTTATAAAAGTATTAGTGAATAAATATGTACAAATTTGCGCACCAATCATATTGTCAATGTACCTTTAGTCGCCTAGTGTTACGTATTGTACGTTATTGCTGTCAATTATCAGACAATACGATCACAATTGTGACATTGAGAGCGAATGATCGCGTGAGACTTGCTGGCTTGCGCATGTGTTGTTGGTAAAATTTGTTCTAACACATTTTTATTCAACTATCAAAAACCAAAATGTTGAAGGAACGTTTTATTTTATTTAGTACCAATTTTTAAATGCGAACTGTCAATAATCAATTAACTTTTAATGTTGGTGTATATTTTAAATAAATAAATTAGGCTTTAATTACAATTACCTTAAACAAATTAACTTCTATAATAAACAAAGAAAATAAAAACTTATAAGTTAATCCTGTTCTCTCCATAAAATCAACAAGTTCGTTCGTTCAAAACTGTATAGTTCTGTATTACCTTGTTGTATTTAGCGCTAAATCAGAAGAATATTTTCTTGAAAACTTACCTCAAAACCAAAAACGTCAATATTCGACATTTTATCCCATTTCGGGGTGCCGTCTGTGCTGAATCCATTGAAACCCATCCCGCAGTTGTTGCAGATCGCCTCGGACAATAACCAAGCATGATAGTACTTGCATCGCACAACCAGAGTCGACAAATATGCATACCACAGCAGGTACAATGCTGACCACGACTGTGACACCTCCGACGTCGGATCAGTCAATTCTATTTATGTAAAATATAAAAATGTAATAAACTGCAAATTAAATCACTACATAGTATAAAACAAAGTCGCTTTCTCTGTAGCCTATATCCCAGAGACATTGAGACATGAGGTCCCTATATCCCTATGTATGCTTAAATCTTTAAAACTACGCAACGGATTTTGATGCGGTTTTTTTAATAGATAGAGTGTTTGAAGAGGAATGTTTATATAATGTATAATAACATCCTTTATATAGTTGAGAAAGCAATAATAAATTACAGTTTCCTAAGCGAAGCGAGGGCGGGTCGCTAGTTTAGATATAAACTATATAATTTGTTTAAACTGTAATATATTCGGTTTTTAAACAAACTGCGGACCGCGGGAACCCCGTTTTTTGATGATAATTTTCACAGGGAAATAAAAATTAATTATCTCTCAAAACAATTATTATTTACCAAACTGAATATTATTTTGCGTCTTTATAAACGAGTGTCTTTTATGTTTATTTGAGTTTATTTCATTAAATAGGTACATTACATTTTAATAATAATATGACATCACTATTAAGTCGTTTATCGTGATCCGACTTTACGTTATATTTAGTATAGGATTAACGAATAAGAATAATGAACAAGATCGACCTTGACGAAATCCCACACTTTTATAAGAAATCACTTGTCGAGAAGTCGCTTGCGACTATGATCACACAATCACCGGGAAATCGAATATCTAAATAGGTCTATTTATTTCATTGTTTGATGATAATGATGATGATGATTCTATCAAGATGTTTTTTATTCGATTATAATATGTAAGTTTTTAAAGCAAATATGCATCCATCACATATTGAAGATAACTTCTGTGATGAAGAAACATGAATGTGTAATAAATCTAGCGTATTGTGAGCGAGCTCAAGCTAGTACCATCCTTTTATTAAATCAAGAAGTTATAATGCATTGGTTTTGAAGAATAAATCAACAGTATAACCGTGTGATTGAGAATTAGAGTTAATGTTATATAGGTTTCGTGAATCTTTTAAAATCAGGAGGGCCGCAAGGTTGACACACAACATCACCTTTGTAGTTGATACCCACACAGTGAGAGATGTCGTTGCACCAAATGCACATAAAAGGTTGGGGGAAAAGTCTTTTCGCATTATAGTATGTATGAACTTGTAATAAAATCTCTTTGGCTAATACTATTTGTATCTGGCTGGTTTTGGTATCATTAAAAGTTTTAATTTTAAAGAAGATAATTCCAAATTCAAATTAGGAAAATGTGTGATTTTTATGTACTTTTCGTACTGTCAAGATGATTGAATCTAATGAAATTTTCGATGTTTATAGTGATATATAGTGCAGTGTCTTGAGAGTAGCACAAATTTGGTTTAAGCGTTTTCAATCCGGAAATTTTGATTTGAAAGATGCACGACGCTCTGGTTGCCCTATTACGGACAAAATGGATGCCATTTTTGAAAAAGTGGAGTAAGATCGGCATATCAGTAGTTACGACGTAACTGAAGAACTGGGAATTTACCACAAAACAGTTTTGACGCATTTGAAAAAAACTGGGTACTCAAAAAAGCTCGATATTTGGGTACCCGAGCTCATTGAAAGAAACCTAATGAGCCGTGTACTCATTTGTGATTCTTTATTACGACGTAATGAAACCGAACCATTTTTGAAGAAGCTGATAGTTGGTGATGAAAAGTGGATCACGTGCGAAAAATGTCTTCAAAGGCCGGTCAGGCTTCACAGACTGTGGCGAAACTCGAGTTAGCTCGCAACAAGGTGATGTTGTGTGTGTGGTGGGATTAGAAAGGCATTATTTATTATGAGCTGTTACCACCAGGCAGGACCATCGATTCTGAACTCTACTGTGAACAACTGATGACATTAAAGCAAGAAGTTGTGAGAAAGCGGCCGGAATTAATCAACAGAAGGGGTGTGGTTTTTCATCATGATAACGCTAAACCTCACACATCTTTAGCCACTCAGCAAAAATTAAGAAAGCTTGGCTGGGAGGTGTTAATGTATCCGCCGTATAGTTCTGACCTTGTACCTTCAGATTTCCATCTGTTTCGGTCTCTTCAGAATTCTTTAGGCAGTGTCAGGTTAACATCACGAGAGGACTACCAAAACCAATTTTCGCAGTATTTTGATCAATAGCCCCAAAATTTCTATGTCAATGGGATCATTTCCCTACATACAAGATGGCAAAAAGCTATCGAACAAAATGGTACCTGTATACTTTAGTTAAATGTAAATAAACTATATTAAAAAATGTTGTGAATTTTCTTAAAAAATGCGAAGAAACTTTTTCCCCAACCNTCACGAGAGGACTACCAAAACCAATTTTCGCAGTATTTTGATCAATAGCCCCAAAATTTCTATGTCAATGGGATCATTTCCCTACATACAAGATGGCAAAAAGCTATCGAACAAAATGGTACCTGTATACTTTAGTTAAATGTAAATAAACTATATTAAAAAATGTTGTGAATTTTCTTAAAAAATGCGAAGAAACTTTTTCCCCAACCTTATTTGTACAAATATTTACGTATTAAGCGTTAGTCATAACGCCATATGGCGACATATGTATGACATACGACGTACTGGTGTGCGTTAGGTTTCAGAAGTAATAAAAAAATACTAAAGTAATAATAAAAATACTTTACTGGTGGTAGGACGTCTTTTGAGTCCGCACGCATAGGTACCGCCACCCTGCCTATCTCTGCCGTGAAGCAGTAATGCATTTCGGTTTGAAGGGTGGGACTATACTGCGACTTTAGAACTCACATCTCAAGGTTTGTGGCGGCATTTACGTTGTAGATATCGATGGGCTCCCGAAACCACTTTGGGCCATGAGTTCGACCACCCATTTAAGCAATTAAAAAGAAAACTATTTCAGACCTTCCAAAGCAGTCAGAGGGTACTTTTTAGCGAGTGAAAGATACAACAATGCAGCACCCACGGATCCTGCCATTTTGTAGACAACAGCACGCCGCGGAGACGGTTCCGGTTCATCTTTATTTTTCTCATTCTGTAATAATTAACTTCGATTCACGAATCACGACTGACGCATTAAAATATTGTGTAAGTTTACTAATTAAGCCGGCAAGCGTTTGTGTATTGTGACAGCTGTTTCTATAATTCTGTCACTTAACTAGAAAGAATCGTTCACGGGAGATTGAAAGCAGGTGCGATTCCGTGTAATTTCACTGGTGCATGCCAATGGTAATAGTCGATCTACATATACTGGTCTTGTTACTGAAGTGATTGTGAAGTGGCCGACAAGACGGAGCCGTTACGCACAGGCAATTCGTTTTTAAACGAATACGTTACATAAAAAATATGTATAACAATGTATATGAATAGGAACAATGAGTTGGGAATGCTTTGAGGAATGGGGAGTGCTCTGAGGAATGGGGAGTGCTCTGAGGAATTGTTCGAGATGATACCGGCATCTCGTTTTTACCATCGCACCGCCCGCCACCGGAGTAGAGTTCATCCATACTACCTGGAGCCACTGCGGTCATCCACAGTGCGTTTCCACAGGGTCTTTTTTGCCACGTACCATCCGGCTATGGAATGAGCTCCCTTCCACGGTGTTTCCCGAGCGCTATGACATGTCCTTCTTCAAACGAGAATTGTGGAGAGTATTAAGCGGTAGGCAGCGGCTTGGCTCTGCCCCTGGCATTGCTGAAGTCCATGGGCGACGGTAACCACTCACCATCAGGTGGGCCATATGCTCGTCTGCCTACAAGGGCAATAAAAAAAAAAGAGTACTAAGGTACTGCTAATCATCTAATATTTTCATCAATAAAACTAGTTACGTGTACTAATAATACGTATACTCTTTTAGTTCTAGAGAATGAAATACCTATTAAACATGTTAATCAAAGTACACTCATAAAAACATTAACTGGTATGTGGATCATTATAATTTCAACACACAAACGCATGAAACACATAATTAGCACATAAACTTGGACACAAAAGGAAGATAGCACGCATAGCAAACAAATGAGAATATTATAGAACAGATTATTAAGATTATGAGGTTGACGAATGATAAAATTTCTTGACTTTGTATTTAAAGACGTCTATCAAGGCAAGGCGACAAGGCGGCCGGGTTTGACTTTTTTTTTATTGCGACGAGCATACGGCCCACCTGATGATGAGTGGTTACAGTCGCCCATGGACTTCAGCAATGCCAGGGGCAGAGCCAAGCCGCTGCCTATGTTGACTTGTAACAAATATTAAGCAAGGTTAATAACAGGAAAACTTAGGTCCAAAGAACACACGTGTGATTATAAAAAATACATAAAAAATTAAAACCTAGCATTAAAAGAAATTATTCTTGTATATTTAAAAATAAAACATACTTTGTCAATCCGTGCTCCTTCTATGAAATTAATGTAGTCTGGGTAGAAAACAACGGGGCCACACATTAGCGTCTGAAATGCTAATGTGTACGCAAAATATTCTAAAGGCGATGGAATTTTTTCAATCCTATATTCTACGTTGCTAGAATGGCCAACTACGTTATCGTTGATTTCCTGGCTAGTCAGGCTATCTTGAAGAGAATAGGCTAATGACGTCACCCGCTGTGTTATCACCATTAACGGCCCTTTAAATAAAGAGAAAATTAGTAATAATTATTTTCATTCAAATCGTTATAATTGATCGAAGAAAAATGTTAATAATTGTTTGTGTTTACTGCTTACCTGTTATGTCTAGTGTATAATCAGCAGTGTGGTATATTTGTCGATGTAAATGCAAACACGAAAGATATATCATGGAAGCTGCCAGAGTTAGGCTGAAACAATTTTGAGCGTAAAGGGAACTGATTTCTTGTATTGGTTAATTTAATTAAAATTACTGTACTTACTTCCCCATTATGTGATGAGGGACAGTCTTGAACAGAGCATAATTTAACATTGGAAGCACGGACATGTGTATGGCTTGCCTGTAATTTCGTAATTCTTAATAAAATTGTCATCGAAGTTACTGATAAAATACCAATAACGAAGGGAACACTTTAAAAAAAATTACAAATTAAAAGTAATATATAATTAGGNGCAGTCATCGACAATTTTAGACGTCGTTTGCAAGAGTGCCGTGATCGCAACGGATTACATTTAGGAGATGTTATTTTCAAAAAATAATTCCCGTTTTTTAAGCTTTTTATGTAAATAAAAATTTAATTCATAATGTAATTAGTTTTATTTTAATAATTTTTTTTCATATCAAAGGACTTATGGGCCACCCTGTATATAAGGCGTTGTATCATTGAAAATAACTCTTTAACTATCGCATGCAGTATATTTAATAAAAATCAACAAAAAATAAACTTTTATTACTCGAAATTGAATTATAAAATCATAAAGATAATTCTAGATGAATTGACGTCATTTTCAAAATTTATAGTTACTATTAAAATTTAAAGTAGGTATGCAATGAAATATTTATCGCGGGAATTATGCGACTTACTTTCCAAAACAGAAATAGCCCATTATTAAACCAATAATAAGGCAGACACTGTGACGGAATTCCGGCGACGCATATCTCAATGGTTTCCGAAATAATCTGGCCAGGAATAGTGCAGCTACTTGTGCGATCAAAAAATTAACCTAATAAACAAAATAATTGTATGATAATGTGTGAATTATTACTCATAGCATAACATTTGGTGATGATGTAACCGTTTATTGAACAACTTCCAAAATCTCAGGCTGAATAGTGCACGTACACTATGCAAATGTGTCGCACACAACCTTTGAATAGAATTGCATGAAAACGTTGTGTTTATTGCAAGGACTTTTGCGTCTAATTTTAAAAATGGATGAGCTCGGAGTAAAAAAAGAAACATTAAATCTGCTGTCTCCATATAAACAATAAGAACATTGTATTATAATGATAATATTATGGTAATTCGAAAAATCAAACAAGAAGATTTCTCATATAAAATTGTTACTTCTATACTATCTATACTTCTATACTAATATTATAAAGAGGAAAGATTTGTTTGTTTGTTTGTTTCGAATAGGCTCCGAAACTACTGGACCGATTTGAAAAATTCTTTTTCCATTAGAAGCCGACATTGTCCCTGATGAACATAGGCTACTTTATTTTTATTTTTTTTTTATTTTTTTTTTTTGGTTTCATGTGTGTTTTAATGTTTCCGAAGCGAAGCGAGGGCGGGTCGCTAGTCCTTTATAAAAGTGTCTTTTTTAACATTACGATTGTAAGATAAACAAATATTGTAGGTCACTTTTATGCATGATTAGTATTATTCTAGCATTTTCATTCCACACGTTTGGCATTGCGCTGGGTGAACCATTCTTGAAATATAACATTTACCTACCAAAAGTAGACAATTATGGCAACTAGCAATTAACCACAAATAACCATAATATTAAAGTCAATATACAAAAAAAGACTATATAGTGTGACTTTTTTTGACATTTTATTTGAACTGATTTTAAATCTAAAGTGGGGTTGGTAAAAAGAACACTAAAGTTTATTTTAAAACATTTTTGTAACGCTAAAATTACTAAACAGATTTGTATGAAATCTAGATACGCACGTAGAGTTTACAACCCGGATTAGTACATAAGATTATTTGAGCAATGGTAAATGAGTCTGGGTTATCCCGAATATATCTGCTTTAATAAATAAGACAGTGTGTTCGCATGTTCGTGATTGATCAATTGATTAGAATTGATTGGCTATTTCGATCGACTGTTAGTTTAAGGACCAGAGAGTGACATAAGTTTATTCCGAACAAATTGAACATTATTACAGAACGCAATATGAATACGGAAATCGATAAGAAAACAAAGTACTTTTCAGTGAATTGTTATTGATTGTATTTACTAAACGTAACGTAACGAAAGAAAAAAAACCAACTGCAACAAACTAAACAATTAATAAATGCAATACAATCTCCATTCAAACAAAATATAATACAAAATTTAATTAAAAAATAATAAAAAAGAATTTCGTGAAGTCAAAATAAACTACGAGTATACTCGTAATACAAATGACATAAAAGAACTAATCTTGCTAATGAAGCATTAAATGGTCATTTAGAATGCCACTGCCTAATATCTTCGTATTTATACCTTAATATATCGACGCTTGAAAGGCAAACGTGACTAATCGACAATGCGTGAACTTTACAGTAGACTAATTTAAAGTTGAAATACCTGAAAACAAAATTTATTTTAACGAATCTAGCTGTAGTAGAATCTAGCTAGTAGCTGTAGGATTGAAATGATTTTAATAGACCTAGAAATAGAAATTTTTTGCGCATCGAATATGGTTATTGCCTGTCATTTATGTACAAAGCAGTTATTGTCGCTTAGTCACGTTCGCCTTTCAAGCGTCGATATGTTTTTTTTCCTACCTATGCTGACAAATAACCTCCCAAGCCTTAACTAGTAGGTGAGCTCACGGGGTTCAAACACTAATGACGTTGCTAACACTAACCCTAGCAAGAGCCGTGTTTCGCAGAATCTACCACCGGATCGGAAATAAATATATACAGAAAGTTAAAGTTTTTTTTTATAAATATTTTTTATTTCTATCAATAGAGATAGAGCCGTTTTGGAGAAGTCAGATTTACGGGACCCAACAATATCTTCAAAGGCATTTTAAGTTGCCTCTCGAGTGTTGAATTGTTTCCCTTAAAAGTTGTTCAAACTTTGGAAAAGGTATGTCTGTCGGCGCAAGTTCTGGTGGACGCAAAACTTTCAACCTTAGCTCTTGTAGCTGAGAGATCGTCTATTGAGCTGTATGAGGTTGAGCGTTGTTGTGTAAAAGCAGCGAGGACGAGAGATNCCAACAATATCTTCAAAGGCATTTTAAGTTGCCTCTCGAGTGTTGAATTGTTTCCCTTAAAAGTTGTTCAAACTTTGGAAAAGGTATGTCTGTCGGCGCAAGTTCTGGTGGACGCAAAACTTTCAACCTTAGCTCTTGTAGCTGAGAGATCGTCTATTGAGCTGTATGAGGTTGAGCGTTGTTGTGTAAAAGCAGCGAGGACGAGAGATTAATCAAGACTGGCCCGAGATTCGCGAACTTCTCCATCATCGACCCCTCGAGCTATTCTTTCTTGGGCATAGTGTGGACGTGGGCGGTCTTCCATGAAAACAGAACTCTGTTAGTGCAATAAGGGAGGTACTCTGAAGAACTTGATACAATGATGGAGAAGTTCGCAAATCTTGGGCCAGTCTTGATTAATCTAGGTCTCTCGCGATAAACTTCTTGCTTTCCAAGGTGATGAAGCGAATAATAAATACGCAAATCCTTAAGTATCTGGAAGATCGCCAACTGATTATTGACCGACAGTACGGTTTCCGTCACGGTCGTTCGGCTAGCGATCCTTTTGTATACCTTACTCACAGGTGGGCTGAAGCCTTGGAGAGGAAGGGCGAGACTCTTGTTGTGAGCCTTGATATCGCGAAGGCCTTCGAGAGGGTCTTGCATAGGGCACTTCAGTCGAAGTTACCATCTTACATAATCCCCGAGCGACTCTGCAAGTGGATCGCTAGCCCTTTTGGATAGGCGGTGCATCAAGGTCATTCTAGACGGCTGCTGCTCCGATACCATGACCATTAACGCTGACGTTCCACAAAGCTAGATGCTTTCCCCCACGCTTTTCATCTTGTGACGTGATTTCATGCATTGCTATGCGGATGACAGCACGGGGGATGCGCGATATATCGGCCATCCGGGTCTTTCTCGGAGCGTGGTGCCAGATTCGATCAAAGCCCGTAGAAGACAAAAGTTTTCGCGTTCACTGCGAAGAAGGACCCCTTTGTCATGGGGTCGAAATATCGAGTGATGTCCAATTTCGGAGTCACTTTGAGGGCAAAGCCAAGTTGGCGTCCAAAATGCTGGGAGTCCTCAACAGAGCGAAGCAGTACTTCACGCCTGGACAAAGACTTTTGCTTTATAAAGCACAAGCCCGGCCTCGCGTGGAGTACTGCTCCCACCTCTGGGCCGGGGCTCCCAAATACTATTAAGAATGTTAGTGAATAGGTATGCATTAATGCATAGAATGCAAGAAAATTCGGTCAAATTATTCGTAAGATATTTTTTTGTATTTTAGTCATACTAATGCTAAGATTTGTTAAAATCTGTAGATATCCGAAGGTAGGTTTATATTGACAGACATCATGAGCCGCACAGTTCCGATGTTATTTTCGGTAGTCGCAGTTGCAGGTGCATCATCAGTGTGACTGATAAGATCACGCTTCAAATGAGCACGCTTTAAACGAGTTATAAATCACCAACCGATGTCATATAAAACACTGTTGCAGACTAGGGCCAAATTGATAAACCACGCAAAAAAAAAAACCATCATACTGGTAATAAACCCTTTATAAAATTCACAACAAATTTAAAAAGAAAAGACAAGTGGGGACATTTTATTTCGCAAGGATTTTAAACTGACCACTTCGAAAAACTTTCATATTAACTGGTGTGCAGCAGGGATAATACATAAATCTGTTCACAGCTGTGCTGAACTGTAAGTTGACACCGCTACTTTATACTCTACATGTGTCTCGGGATAGGGGTACCATACTACAAAATAACATAAATAAAATTGGTTCAGCTTATAAAGTGTAATGATGCTGAATCAGTCCAAATCCAGTTTCAACACTCATAGAAGTACATTTCCTCAGGTGATCGTGAATGGATTGGAAATCTCATTTCCTGACCTGATAAGACACCACCTTCAGCAATGAAGAAAGCGACAAAGAAGAAGAAGGAGGCAAACTAAAAATAAAAAAATATGCAATGATTTCAAAAATAATCCTGCTAATGCATAATATGCTAACATATTATTATAACTAATAAATTATCAATTAAATGATTGCTGACATGCTAAGGTGCACATTTAATGATAGGCAACACCATGACCTGTTTATAAGCCTATTAAAAACCTGTTAGGCAAGCTATTAGAGAAGATGTGGAAGTATACTGGAACAAAATATTGTAATATCTTACACTAGTGAAACATTTAATGAATGAGCCAACTCTATCTCGTAGAATAAAATGAAAAAATAAAAATAAGATATATAGCATATATAGCATTAGGTATAAGATTTATAGCATTAGATTGATTTTGGCCAAATAAAAGTATATTATTTGACACAACTTTTAATAGTTAAATATAATATACCAGTTGGTATTTTAGAATATTATATTGTAGATTTTTGTAACATTATGTTAAGCATACTTCATGAATAAGTATTTCTTACATTATTAACAACAAGCATGAAAGGAGACAAATTGCAGAGGTAATGTTAAAAACCATGAATAATAAAAATACAGGATTTAAATACAAAACACAAAACTTGTTTCTTACTTTTAAATATCTAGATTTCAAATTATATGAACCACTAATGGTGTACCCTAATCATAATAAACTCTCTAAACTAATAACTAACTAAATAAACTCTCTCTCTCAAAAAGTCTCTATTGCACTAAAGCTTACCACTATATTTTAAGTCCTTGCTTACAAGGATTTAATAGAATGTAAAATGTTTTACTCTACTTAGAAAATAATTTTATACTTACCTACATTATTGTGTATTGTAATAAACAAAATTAAGATTTATAGCTTGGCAAAAGTTAATCCTAAGTCTAACGTTAAAACTATAATTCTAAAAATCTATGTTCCACATACTATACCTACTTAAATTTGTAATTAATAGTATTTAATAGTATCATAGAAATTAAATAAATTCATGAATTAATGAAAAACCGTTTCAAAATGAAGTAATTATTATTGGAAGTACAATGAAGACTAATTTATGAAGCTCCTAATAGCACAATTAAATAATATACTTACAAGATCTATAGGCAGTCCTATTCTTGAGGAGAGAAATAAAAAAAAGTGACTTCCATCGTAATAATCGTTATTTGTTTTGGGCATTTTTATGTTATCCTGGAGCACACAAATGTATTAAATAAATTATGTACTTGTTATATAGATATTCTAGATTGTTAACAAACGCTTGTTTGTGTTTCGTGGCACGGAATTTTCTTCCTTTCTATTAATTTAATCACATTTTCTACACAGTTACTGTGATCAACAGTTTTTTTGTAATACAGCGCAACATTTTATGTTTATGTACATATTAAGACGTAACTTATTAATTTAAATTTGAAATAAATTTCAAAACAAACTCAACACAAGGCATAGATAATACATTTATTATTTATTATTTATGAANAATGATCTACATGCAACTTTCTAGAAATTGGTTAAATAAAGTTAAATTAGATAAAGTTTAAACAAAAGGATTTTATTATCATAGACATGAATACAAAAAAGTTAAATTAGATAAAGTTTAAACAAAAGGATTTTATTATCATAGACATGAATACAAAAAAGATGGCGCGTAACGGAAAAATGTGACGCGTAACCGAAAACACCGAAAAACCGTTTCACTTCAAAAATATTAATATTACTAAAAAAGCCACCTGGTGGGGGGTAGGGAGACTAATAATCGACAGCAGCGACGCCTGCTGTCCTGGGCTCTAACTAAAGCAAAAATAAAAATGAGAGTTGCGCATCTATCTCAAATATATTAAGTGTATAATCTATGATATTAAGTGTATAATCTATGCTACTGTCATAGACAGTAACATAGATTATACATATAAGACAGTAGGTAGCTTAAAACATTTATGACAAGTAGCGTCTCCATCTTTATGCCGGCCACTGACATGCGCGCAAATATTCGTACATTGTATGAATGATTGCGCGCATGTGAAGGGCCGTCAAACATTCATTCGCAAACCTAGCGGCTGTGCAAATGGGTTCGCATACTCAATTTGCGAACCCGTTTGCGCTTCCTCCTACACTTGTATACGAATGTCTCACGAATTTCTCCTCCTTTTTAATTCGTCAATAGAACATTGAAGAGAAAAAGAGTTTTTAATTCTTTCCCAGACATCATTAACAGCCATGCTGTTTTTATGGGATTTCTTTTGATGAAGATACGCTACACAGTAGACGTCACGAACTATAAAAATGGCGTATAGTATACGTCCGTTACCTTCGCAATCGTCGGCCCAACTGGGCAAGCAATGTGTGGGAGACTACGCGAAGGTTCGCGCGCTTTGATGTCTGTTAATAAACCGACACAGCTTGGAAAACCACGAATGCAGCGAAAACTTTGCATAATCATTTGCAAATGTCATCCTACACTTGCGGGTTTGCGTATTCTTGCGAATGTGAGTGACCGGTATAACACCAACACCAATTTTGTCCCTAATAACCACAATTTCTGGGTAAATAGGGGTAGCACCTATTTTTTGCTTTTTTTGCTAATACTGGAATGCTAATTGCATAGCTTTAAATTGGATAACAAAGATACCCCCAAGACTCAATCATTTTGATCCTGATATAGCATTTTGAATACATACCTTGAAATTGTTCATCAAGTTGGAATTTGTCCCTAATCACCCCGTTTACCGGTACTTAATATCGTATCTATGTACCTACGCAGTAAAGTAATTATTAGACTGGACTTTTTGGCGGGAAATTGAGGACTGAAGTTGTGTAATTTCATTTATTTTGTCTATTTAGTTTTCTTTAGATTGAAATGTGTAATAACTTTGGTTTATTAGCTGTTTAGTCTTTGTGAAAGTGCACAAATGTGGGAAAATGGAAAAAAAGCCGCTGGACGTAGTTACGTTACGAGAAGTTTCTCGGGATCCTCCAAAAGTCCACTGAGAAAGTCTCACTAAAGGACCACAGTTTTATTATTTTTCGATTATATTTCATTCCATATCATCTCCTCTCATTTTATTTCATTTCATTTCATGCCATGTTCCATAATATTAATCAACTTCATCTCATTTCACGGCATCTTAAATTATCATTTGCAGAGTTAATGACTACATTATTCAAATTACTTTCTCAACCTAATTTATCTATACCGTCCCACGTCACTAATTTAACTCATACTTAAACTGATATTAATAATGGCCAGCATGGACAGTTTCCTTCGTCTTTTATCATGTAAATAGGTAATTAAATAGGTAATAAAAATATACGAAACAAACCTTATTACTTGACATTGGCAAGTGTAAAAACTGCATGAGACATAATAAAAAAAAACAATTATACTAATCTGTGATAGGGATGTCCGAAATACCATAAAGTATCGATATTGATATTTTCATTAAAAAATATCGATATAATTTCACAGAGAATATTCGTGCTAATCAATAGACATCCTTTTTAATGACATGTTATGAAACTTTATGGAATTTTATAAAATTTCAATAGTATAAAATATAAAATTTTGTGAAATTTCGTGAAATTTCACGAAGTTTCATCAAACCCATGAAATTACATAAAAAAAAATCCCGGGAACATATAAATGTTTGTTGGTCTGAAAAAAATTTCGGTTTTCATACCTTTTCGATACTTGGAATTTTATATCAATACATCGATGTATCGAAGTATAAAATATCGCTCAAAAATATCGATACATTGAAAAAATAATATCGATATTTTTTCAAAAAGCCTAATCTGTGACTTGTGTCAGCCTGTCAGCACATAAACAATAATTTTACAATTTAAACAAGAGTTCATAACTTCGTTGGTAGATAGAAACATTAGAAACCAAACTTTATTTTTGAAACACCGACAATGTCAATTGGAAGCATCTATGAAAAAGCTTACAAAGGAGACTTTAATCAAGTCAAAGTAAAAGTTGATGAGGATGTTTCTTTATTGAATAATTCTGATTCTGTAAGTTGTAATGTTTTTATGTATATAATATTTTTTTTACCACTAATATAACGTTCGACCTTTTACTTGGCTTATGTATACGAATACTCGTGCTAACTTAGTGAAAAAATTAAAATTACTACCCAATCTGAAGCTTGCATTAGCTTGCTTTTGTTCAAAAACTAGAAATTTTGTGAAAATACCCCAAGAGCTATACTTTAATAGCTGAGTCATTATAAGATACAAAACACGTTTCTACTAAAATGTAAAAATCCTGAATTTATAAGCAGTAGGTAGGTAGCAAAATATTTAAATCTACTTTCATACCAATTGTTAAATTTCCATATAAAGTCAAAATAAAATCACTGCACTGAATAGGTACTACATTTTTTTGTTGGGATTGATTCAAGTCACTTTAAAATTAATTTATTCAAACATTAATATTCAATACTGAAGAAAATGTACCTACACTAGTTTAATACTGGTATTTTAAAAGTTGCGATACTACTCAAGATAGTAAAATTATAATAAACATTTGAAATATTGCTTTAAAAAACTAAATTACGATTTAATTAAATTCAAAAATGTTTACATGGAAGTGAAAGCTATTAATTATGTATTATTTTTCAGAACAATCGCTTATTGATTCACTGGGCAGCTTTGGGAGGAAATAAACATTTAGTAGATTTTTTATTGGAATCTGGATCTTGTCTTGACCCAGTAGATGATACAAACTCTACACCACTAATTCTAGCAGCTTCAGCTGGTCGTTTAGATGTAGTTAAATTGTTAATAAGTAAAGGATCTAATGTTAATCACAAAACCAACCGAGGACAAACATCCCTCCATTATGCTTGCTCGAAGGGACACAAAGAGGTAATAAATGATATGTCTATAGAGAACTTGTTCTGATGGACACAATCTGTTATAAGTTTTCATTACAAGGTTCCACTATTTTTTTTATTAACTAGTTGACCCGGCAGACTTTGTAGTGCTCAATCGATAAATAAAAGACCTAGTTTTATATAAAATAAACTTAAAACAAACAAAAGGAATCCGTCCGACAAGGGACACATCAAAGGAAAAACAAAATTGTTATTTTTATTTAATTCTGAGTATTTTTATGTTTATCTACCTTTGAAACCTTCTCTGGACTTCCACAAATAATTCAAGACCAAAAGTAGCCAAATCAGTCTAGCCGTTCTCGAGTTTTTGCGGGACTAACGAACAGCAATTCATTTTTACATATATTATTAATTATTAATAAAAACCATTCCACTATTTTTATTATTAATAAAAACCACTCCACTATTTTTATTAATACTATATTTTATTTATAAATATATATAGAGGGTGAAATGCTATTTGGTTCAAGTGACATTCAGCTCCAAATCCNAAACCTTCTCTGGACTTCCACAAATAATTCAAGACCAAAAGTAGCCAAATCAGTCTAGCCGTTCTCGAGTTTTTGCGGGACTAACGAACAGCAATTCATTTTTACATATATTATTAATTATTAATAAAAACCATTCCACTATTTTTATTATTAATAAAAACCACTCCACTATTTTTATTAATACTATATTTTATTTATAAATATATATAGAGGGTGAAATGCTATTTGGTTCAAGTGACATTCAGCTCCAAATCCTCCACATTAGCATCCAAATTTTAAACTTGAAACATGCAAAAATGTCAATTAAACCAAATATCCTTTCACCCCTCGATATAATAAATAAGTATACTTTGGCTTACCAGTCTTAACAGCTTTATATTGTTGAAACGGATATTGTTGAAAATTACAATAACAATAATAAACATTACTACAAAACTATTACAAATAATTGTTGGGAAAAATATAAAAGTTAATCTATAAGTTCATGTATATAAATAAATATAATTCCAGAAGTTATTAAAAAAATTCTAAGACTTAACATTGCAGAACATTGGCTCTTCTTTACATATATGATTACCCGTTTTTTATGTTGTTCTTTTTCAAATTCACATTAACATTTTTTGGCCAATCAGACAGTTGTATTGTGCAGGACCAGATAGAAGAAAAGAAATTTGATAAAATTTCTCAGTGATTTATTTTACACAAAATAATCTAGTAATACTGGTTAGATTATTTACATAAAAGTATTTGGTGGGATTTTTTTATTGAAAGACTAAACTTTAACAATATCTTGACATATTGAAAATTCTAACTGAATTTTCAAACTATACTTGACAAAGATGAAAGCAAGCATCAAACAAGTTTTATCATTATTAAATATAAATAATATTTGTCACTTTGTCAAATGAATTCAGTCTTCATACAGACCTCTTGTAATTTACCCATTATAGAATAAATTAAATTTTCAATTCTACTATGAAGTAATATATATATATTTAATTTAATAGATTGGGCATTGAGAACAAGAAAATGCTGACATAAGCTATTTTCCACAGGTGGTCAACTTGCTCTTGGATGCTGATGCACATATAAATAGTGCAGACATACTTGGTGCAACACCACTTCACAGAGCTGCTGCCCAAGGAAGGAACAATATTCTTGAAGTTCTGTTATCTTCACCTAATATCAAACTCAACCTACAAGATTCAACTGGGTCAACACCATTGTTAGTGCAATCTATACCAAATAATAATGTGATTCACTGGTGGTAGGACCTCTTGTGAGTTCGCACGGGTAGGTACCACCGCCTTGCCTATTTCTGCCGTGAAGCAGTAATGCGTTTCGGTTTGAAGGGTGGGGTAGCCGTTGTAACTATACTGAGACCTTAGAACTTATATCTCAAGGTGGGTGGCGCATTTACGTTGTAGATGTCTATAGGCTCCAGTAACCACTTAACACCAGGTGGGCTGTGAGCTCGTCCACCCATCTAAGCAATAAAAAAAAATAAAAAAAAATAGACTACTATTTAACCACTGATAGTCGAAACACATCCTTTACGATGATGAGTTGGATTAGTGAACTAACTCATAGACATAACCCAGTGAGTTTCCTCCTGTATCTTCTCAGTTTGAACCCGTGAGCTGATTTATCAGTCGCAGTATAGCTGAAATAACCCCTTAGACTACCAGCGAATAAGTATGAAAAAAGAACCACAATATTTATGCCTTTCATTTGAAGAAATTTAATGATTTGGAGAAGTTTAATAATATGCTCATAAAGAGGTTTGGCTCATAAATATTATTAGTTAGTCTCGTTAGGCTCATAAATATTATTAGTTTATAGTTAATTTTTTTTAATTTGTTTTATGGCAAATAGTGTTTGTTCTAGAATTGAATGAATGTATTTTAAAATTATGTTAAAATATGGATACAATATAAATGAAATATATACCTAATTATACACTAAAAATAACTGACTCATTTGTAAAAATCATTTTGTTTATCGTAACAGGCNGTTAGTCTCGTTAGGCTCATAAATATTATTAGTTTATAGTTAATTTTTTTTAATTTGTTTTATGGCAAATAGTGTTTGTTCTAGAATTGAATGAATGTATTTTAAAATTATGTTAAAATATGGATACAATATAAATGAAATATATACCTAATTATACACTAAAAATAACTGACTCATTTGTAAAAATCATTTTGTTTATTGTAACAGGCATCTTGCATGTGAAGAAGACAGAGAAGCCGCAGCCACTATGCTAGTCGAAAGTGGGGCTGATCTGAATATAGAAAATAAGGAAAAGAAGACCCCACTAGATTTGTGTTCTGTCAAACTTAAGACAAATCTATCTAAAATAAAAAAATAAAGTGTGTGTCAATAAAAATAGTAAGTTTAATTTACATAGTTTGATATTTACCTAGCAAAAAACGAGTGGTTCAAAATATATTTTGTTTTTGGTTATTTTGTTTTTGTAGACAGATGAGCTATGGCTTAAAAGTTGTTTAGAGGGACATGCCATCATGCTCAGAAAATATTATGAAAGGAATTTTACTCTAAAGTTTGGAAAAATTGGGATTCTGGGGTAAATTGGGACTAGACATGTGTAAGTAATGCGAGTGATATTACTTCGGTAATATTACTCTACGATGTAATGCAACATCACACATTACGCGAAGGAAACAAACATCACACTATCACCCAACATGTTTCTTTCTTTGTCGTGTAATGTTGCTTAATACCCGAACGGACCCGAGCGAGCAAGACAGACCGACCGCCGCTGCAACGCGATGGCTTGACTACGCAAAATAAATGAGCGAGCGACACGGAATTATTCCTAACGATTTTGAACCGTATGCCCTGGCCGCTAGGTACATTTTTATATCTAAGGTACGTCTGAATTTTAATTTAAGTATTTGTATTTATATTTTTCATGCGGCGAGCCGGTAGTTCCCCGCAAGTAGTTACTTAATTTTTTTTCGCAAGTTTTGTAAAATCGCTAGTCGCTCGTAATTGTTCTAATAATATTTCGTTTTAGTTTTGTGTTTGAATTACTTAAGCACTTCTTTGAAGATAGTTTTATTATTTGTTTTAAGTGAAAGAAAGAATGGCGTCTAAAAGAAAGTACAGTCCTCTTTGGACGCATTTTGAGGAGACCGCGCCGAAAAAGGCGAAATGCGTCTATTGCTCTCGGATATTAACATTATCGTCGAGCTCAATTGGTAGTCTAAGTCGCCATATGAAATCCGTTCATCCCACAGTAAATATTAAAGTTGAAAGGCAAGGAACTCTCAGTGTAGAAGATATCTCTGCAACATCGGGCAAGCCGGCTGTGCAGGAAGTCACATGTGGTGAAACTTGTAGTCGACCAACTTTCGCCACAAATGCTTTGACCGTTACCACCACCACTGGAACTGCCAGTACTAGCAGAGAGAACATGCCATCTATTAAGGACTATGTAGTTATTAAAAAACCACTACCTCAACATAAATTACAGCAGCTCGATGATCAACTAGTAAGGATGATCGCGAAGGGATACCATGCCTTACGTATGGTAGATGAAAAAGAATTCCGTAAGTTTGTAGAAATGTTAAACCCAGGGTACACATTGCCGACGCGAAAAACATTGTCCGAAAGCTTACTACCAAAGGTATATAACAAAGTCCTTGAGTCTGCCAAATTTCATATCACTAAGGCAACAGCCGTCTGTATAACAACAGATGGTTGGACCTCAATTGTTAATGACGGCTATATTGCTATCACGGCCCATTTTATAGATCATGAAATAGACCAAATATGTTCTGTCATGATTGGTTGCATAAATCTTGAGGAAAGGCACACGAGCATAAATTTAAAAGATTTTCTACAAGAAAAGTTTATTGAGTGGGGTATTGACCGAAGAATAGGTGCGGTGGTCAGCGATAATGCTGCAAATATTGTCGGCGCAGTGCAACTTGGTGGTTGGCGTTCAATTAGATGCTTCGCGCACACTTTAAATTTAGTTATGCAAGCGAGTATTATTAAAATAGAGGAGACAATAATTAAAGTCAAACACGTAGTGGAATATTTTCATCGAAGTTCATCTGGAGCTAAAAAATTAAAAGAAATACAACAGCAAATGGAGCTTGAGCCCCTTAAATTAAAACAAGACGTCATCACTCGGTGGAATTCCACATATGACATGCTGCACAGGATAGTTAAAATAAAAAATGCTGTAATTGCTACACTGGCCCTTATGAGGAATGACCTGTCGCTTTCCCAAGACGACTGGACTATTATTGAAAAATCTATTCCTTTATTAAATATATTCTATGAGGTTACTAAAGAGATAAGTGGCGAAGAATACGTAACGGCTTCGAAGGTCATCGTGTATTGTAAATTAATAAATAAACAGATCGAGAAGTGCACTGAGGAAACTCTTGCACCTATTCAAGAATTGATTAAATCATTAGCCTTACAAATGACGCAACGGTTTCACGATATAGAAAGCAATGTACTGCTCAGTGAGGCAACTATCTTGGACCCTAGATTTAAAAAAAATGGGTTCAGCAGTGTTAGGAACTATGAAAGGGCTGCAGCTCAACTAAAATTAAAAATCGGTGCTATTGATAATTCAAGCGTGGTAGTGCCTGTTGAAGAGAGGCAAACGACGACTCGGTCATCTATTGTAAAATCTATCTGGGAAGATTTTGATACCGAGGTTTCAAAACTGGTACCTGAAAATCCAGTAGCAGCTGGTATAGTCGAATTCGACAAATATATGCTCGAACCTTTAATCAAGAGGCACGAAAATCCTCTCAAGTGGTGGAAGGATCGCAAGGCAGTATATCTCCGTCTTTATTCATTTATGCTGAAAAGGCTTAATATTGTAGCAACTTCAGTGCCATGCGAACGCGTGTTTTCCAAAGCCGGTCTAACCCTAAATGAAAGGAGAACACGACTCAAAACAAAAAAATTAAGTCAGCTAATGTTTATTAGCTGTAATTGCTGATTTTATTAAAATATGTATACCTAAAACAATTAATGTACATCATTATAACAAACTATTGATTATTTAAAACAAAAAAAAAACAAAAACGCTTTAAAAAATGTATATAAATCTATGAATAGGATAAGATGTAAATAGTACCACTGTATTATGTAATTATGACCACTGTAAATATTGTAAATAAGTTGATTTTTAAATACGCCAAACTTCATATAGAATTATAGAAGTTTGCCAGTCCTAAGCCTGGTGTGTCCCTTTTAACAGTTACAACTATGTCGGTAACGTGACGTAAACTCGCTTATTCTGTCTATATTCAAGTACTGGGGCCTAAGTATGAAGGGAAATAAACTATATTTACATAATTAAAAATACATTAATTTTATTTACTAATTAATTATTGTATCACGTAATATTTGCTACATAAATTATATTAAGTGAAGGCGTTTGATTGTGTTTAATGGAATACCATGTTTGATGTTTTGATTAATATGCGTTCCTCCTCATCTTACACTACTGATACAAAATCTGTACCTTGATGGCTCTTGACATGGTGCACGGTGAGCGGTGACATGGTGCACGAAAAGCCGCGATGGCAAAAAGATCGATGCCTTTGAAATGTGGGTGTGGCGGAGGATGGTACGAATACCATGGACTGCCATAAGAACTAACGAGTCCATCCTAATAGAGCTAAACACCCAAAAAAGGCTCTCTAGCATCTGCCGGGAACGTGTTATGGGCTTCTCCGGACACATCATGCGGTCTCCCAAACATGAATTATAGAAGCTTATAATTGCGGGTCGCATACAGGGCAAACGCGCCTTGCCAAACACCAGCCAGATCCTTAGATCTGGTTAAGGAAGCGGTTGGTGGTAGTCTATATCATGCGGTCCATGCCACCCATGATTGAACACTGTGGAGGAAAGTCACATGTGGTCGTAATCCTCAGCGATGAGGGAACGATGAAGAATGAAAATATATTAAGCAAAAAATAAAATTATTATTAAGTAAGTCAATCTCTGTCAAGTAATATAAGAGTATATTACAATACAAAGTATGAACACATCACGTAGGTAATGATTCGGGTGTAAAGATACAATGTAATTCAATGTATTCATCACAGTATCTATTGAACGCACCGAGTAATGTTAAGAGTAGACATGTGTAAGTAATGCGAGTGATACGATGTAATGCAACATCACACATTACGCGAAGGAAACAAACATCACACTATCACCCACAGAACACTATTACTTCTAGCGAAGCTATCACCCGACATATTTCTTTCTTTGTCGTGTAATGTTGCTTTAATACACGAACGGACCCGAGCGAGCAAGACAGACCGATCTACGCAAAATAAATGAGCAAGTAACACAGAATTATTCCTAGTGATTTTGAACCGTATGCCCTAGCCACTAGGTACATTTTTATACCTATGGTACGTCTGAATTTTAATATAGGTATTTGTGTTTATATTTTTCATGCGGCCAGCCGGTAGTTCCCCGCAAGTAGTTAATTTTTTATTCGCAACTTTTGTAAAATCGCTAGTCGCTCGTAATTGTTTAGTAATATTTCATATTAATTTTTGTGCTTGAATTACTTAAGCACTTGTTTGAAGATAGTTTTATTATTTGTTTTAATGCGTGTTTAATAAGTGAAAGAAAGAATGGCGTCTAAATGAAAGTACAGTCCTGTTTGGATGCACTTTTAGGAGGCCGCGCCGAAACAATGTGTCTACTGCTCTCGTATATTAACATTATCGTTGAGATCAATTTGCAGTCTAAGTCGCCATATGAAATCCATTCATCCCACAATAAATTATATTAAGTAAAAAATAAAATTATTATATTATTAAGTAAGTCAATCTCTGTCAAGTAATATAACAGTGTATTACAATACAAAGTACTATGAACACATCACTTAGGTAATGATTCGGGTGTATAGATACAATGTATTCGTCACAGTATCTATTGAACGCGTCGAGTAATGTTATGAGTGATGTGTAATGTTTTCGAGTAATATCACCTGTCTGTAGAAGTGATGTCATATCACATTACATTGGGAAGTGATGTTTTGCGCAAGTCTAATTGGGACAAACCTGCGGAAGATTCTCAAAGTACTTGTAGCACAGAATCTACCTAATTTTCTTTAAGGTAATATTTATCAATGTATAGAAGAAAAACCAAGTTAACTATGGAAGTACTAAACATGAGTTAAGTTGGTCGCAAAAATTCGTCAAATTAAATTTAAAATAGTGGTTGATCGTTGTTTTTTCAATAAGATCACAGTTTATATAAGTTTTTAATACACCTGAAAATACCACAACAAACGGTAAGTTGCAATATTCTTATTTTAAATACAATATTTCGACAAAATAAAAAATGTATATTTTTTCCTTTCTT